CTGATGAGACTCGTAAAAGAACTCCGAAAACTTACCCATGAGGAACTCCTAACTCCAGCAGTGCCTGTCTTCGAGGGCCGTGAACAAATGAACTGTCTAGTGTCTACAGCCGACAGACTGTGTCATGAATACGGTAATACACCACTGCCTGATGGATCACGGCGACAAACTCATCATGCGACAGATTATACATGCGATAAACTCATCCTTCCCAGAGGCAGGCGTTACGTAACGGTGCCAGGGTGTAGCGTTAGGGTGAAAATCCTCAACACATTTATTAGGGTTGGACAGTTTTCCTCCTATTGCTACTAGCGTCTTCTTTCCGTAGAAAATATAACGTGATTCGCGTCTAAAATGTGTTGGGAAAAATACAAATCACTTTGAAAACATGATCACAGTTGAACATTTTAAAACCCGAAAATTTTTGACTATTTGAAATGAGAGAACGTTGAATAAGTTGACGTAGTTAGTAAACTAAAATATATAAATGGTAAGATTTTAAGCCCGTAACACCATAAAACAATAAAGGTATTTCACACGAACGAGTCACACGGTTAAAGGTACACTGTACTTTCTATTTAACTGCAATTTACAGCTTTGGGTGTGAACACATGCGTTTATTTTATGAGTTTTTAAATAAAAAAACTTTAATTTTCTTTTACATATTATTGATATTTTCTGAGGTTTAATGAGCATACATGTTCCTGAGAATACAAAATCAACAATTAACCCTTCTAAATATGAAATTTAAAATGAGTTCTTTTAAAGATCATGTTAACTGGGTTTAAAGATCGACTTCTCGGCAAGAAGCGGTGTTCGCGCGTACAGGTAGTTGAGGTCTCGGCCGCCAGGCGACAACACTACTAATTATGACTTGTTATGGGGTCTCTTTCACTTAGCTCTATTATCCTCTCGCGAGCCTCTCGTCAATTCTCCTCGGATACATTAGCGTCTATTTGCAGCTTCGGAAACTCGCTCTTCGACTACATCTCTAGTTACCGCAAAGCTTTTAGAATATCATCCTGCAAAGTCTTTTACAACTTCTAAACACTCGGAAACTCGCTCTACAACTACATATGTTCAAATAACACAAACACATTAAAAAAATCCCACGTCTATGCTACAAAACTTTTAGAAACACACTCTATAACCTCGCCTATTTACTGATTCAAAACACGAAAATCGCTCAACATCTGTTAACCGATTCAAATAATACATTTTTTTTTTAATAATCACGCGTCTATCTAAAGTAACAAAACTTTCAGAAACATGATCTAAATTAGTCTATTTGCCGATTCAAAACGCTCAGACCTGGTAGCCCTGCATACTTTACTTAATTTGCGATCAGCTGACATGCATTGTTGCTCTGTTTCCTACACGGTTCAATACTGTGTTTCAAGGAATTTATTGTGAATGAACGATTAGTTAATGTAATAAATAGCCCAGAAATATTATAGAAAACGTTTTTATACTGAACAAATTATAATACATTTTTTTAACACCAAACCAAAACATACAAAAGGTAAACAAGACAATTGTCAAAGATATAACTCAAAATGGTGTTTCCGCAAACTCACGGAGTAAGCATTTCAGACATGCGTTTTTTTACAGATCCGGAATCCGTACATTTTTTATAAGTCTATACTATAAATAGATATAAGTAGATTTATTTTATACCAGAAATAAATATTGAAGCGTAATTAGAAACCTTTTTAGCATGAAACCAATCATTTACTCATAATGTATTTAATTCTACAATATACATAGGCATACTCAAGCATGTTGAGTTTAATTCACAGTTAATTCACAGACAAAAACTTGCAGAGTCTAAAACTTGTAGTTGTGAATTTATCAGCTGACTAATACCTAGTTTGTTTTATGCTTACGTTTTGATGTTTATATTGCAATGTTGAATTATTATTGTAGAGGTCAATTTTTGTAGTTTTAAGTGGAGAAAAGAATGTTTGTTGTGTTGCTGTTGATATTTTCAAAGTATAAAAAAAATAAAATAATAATAAGTTGTAGAATAGCAACACACAGACAGTTTTATTTCCTTACAATCACACTGTTGTAGCTGATGTCACGCAATTTCAAAACTTCACACCACAGTACTATCGACATAATAAGAGCTAGACATTACAAAAATCAGAGTACAGTCCACCTATTCCTTTGCTAGCAAATTATATACAGTAGTGTGTTTAATCTATCTTTCACCTACATAAGAGAATATTCCCCTTGGTAGTCTGCGGTAATACTTAAACGAGTATATAGTAAGAGTCGTCGCATCGACTAATTGACTACCTAATTAAATATACATACTAGCAGAGTACCCGTCCTTCGTACGGGGTTGGCATATAAGTTTAAAATGCTTATTGCAGTTATACTCAAGCTTTGCGTTTGCTAAAAAGAAAGTTTGATAAAATTTGCTTCCTTAAATTGACGGTATACTATTGTATTACACATTTGCCATAGCCATAATGTTCTACCACTTCACCTAAGCAATAAAGAAAAATAAATTATTAAACATTCACAAAAAATCACAAATTATTCATGACATTAAAAACATAAACATAACTGTAAACAATCCTACTTTGACAGTCCTCATTGTGAATCACAGTTTTTTGTTGCTGCTTAGTTCAAATTAGCTGTTTACATAAATGCAAAAAAAGTAGTGCTGTACCCTGGTTGGTAAATCGTATAACTTTTTAATGCTTTTGTATACCATAGAACCAACTATTTTAGTTGAAACAGCTGACTAAATTCTTTAACTCCCTTTAAAATATGAATACTAATAAGATTAACATGGGGAACTACAAAGCCACTGGGGCGGAGCCCGAAAGGGATTTTGAGATAAGAATATGCCTATATGTTAATCGGGAATGTGAGCTATCATCATGCCAAATATCAGCCCAATCCTTACAGTGGTTTATGCGTGATTGAACTTCAAACAAACAAACACACAAACTTTCACATTTATAATATTAGTAAGATATAAATATATAAATGTATATACCATACATACAGGGTCAGTTTTAAATGAGTCCCCCCCTACTTTTTTCTATATTTCTTAAGATATCAATCAACTATGGACCACGACAGATCATTGTAGAGTACTTCATTTTGACTGGGGTATAAAGTTTTGGCCGCCATCTTGGATACAAAGTTGTTTTCAAATGTAAAGGTAAGGTTGTGACCCATCATTTCAAACTAATATTTTTCGCTGTGTACAATGCCTTATTCCGTTTTTCAAAATATTGATCCGTTGAAAAGTTATAGCGAATTTTTAAAATAAATTTTTTAACCAGTTTGTTTATAACCTAATGTTAAAATATACCCCTGGTCTCAATAAATTGCTAGGAAAAAAAGAAATCTACCACTAAACATTTTTGGGTCCTTTTTTCTTCTTTTTTACGAATTGGACATTTTCAGCCGCCATATTGGATACAAAAAATATTTTTGAATGTAAAGGTGGGGTTGTGGCCCATCGTTGCAAACCAGATTTTTACGCTTAATACGATGCTGCAATCTGTTTTTTAAAATCTTAATCGGTTAAAAAGTTATTGGGAATATTCAAAATAGTTTGTGTGTATATTTTTATATAACGCAATTGTAGAATTCTCCCCTAATCTCCTAAATTTGCTAGAAAAAAATTAATAATTTTTAGCCAATAAAATGTATACAATAATTATTTTCAAAAATTTCTATTACATTTTTAACTGATTAAGATGTTGAAAACGGATTGCAGCGTGTTCTGCGTAAGAATCTAGTTTGAAACGATGGGTCAGAACCTATATCACCTATATCACAAGGAAGTAGAGACAAACTATCAGAGAAACGCTGGCTAATAAAGACGTTTTTATTTATTTATTTTTATTTTAACCTCACCTTTACTTTTGAAAATAACCTTTTGTATGGTGGATCCAAGATGGCGGCCAAACATTTATACCCAGTCAAAATGAAGTACCGTAGCCTACTTTCTACTCTACAATGATCTCCTGACGTGGTCCGGAGTTGATATTATCTTAAGAAATGTAGGAAAAGGTAGGGGGGGGGCTCATTTAAAACTCACCCTGTATATAATATATACATACAGTGTGTATTTTATTAAATTATAATTATATTTAATAATAATTTTAATAATAATAAATAATTAATAAATATTATTTGCGTTTGGTTGGGCATTAGAACTTTAGTTGCCTTTAGAAGGAAAAGTATTCTTCAAGAACTAAAGGCAAACTACCAAAGAAAAAGGAATAAACGGTATCAGCATTCTGACACGTACTTTCTCCCATAAGTTTGTCAACAACCTTTATCATGTGTAAGCGGTGAGAGTAAATATACGGAAATGGGATTTGTACAATTTTGTTAAGAATTTAAAGGACTATAACATACTAAATTTTTATCAAAATTGTTCGAGCCAATTTTGGGAGTATTCTTCAAGAACTAAAGGCAAACTACCAAAGAAAAAGGAAAAAGGTACATATAGGTAGCTGTTTATGTTCAATAATGTTTTCACATGAACTACAATAACAATTTTAAATCAAGTTCAATAATGGCATGAGTGAATGTACTAATCAACAGATGTCAGTCTAAAATTAACTAAATCAAAGCTTTGGCTAAATTACCGGTACAATTTTCATTCATTGATAAATTCTTCCAAAATGTTTAAACTATCATAAAAAAATTTATTCCGTTTCACAAATGTTTCACGTAAATATCTGTAATTGCTAATCTAAAGTAGATATTAATAGTCAACTGCATAATAACTTTTACATACATGATTATCCCCTTTTGCTCAGCCAAATTCTAAACTTTAAGTTGGCTTTACGGTAAACTTGTGGAAGCAAGACATTTTGTTGCTAGAAAAAAAGAGCTTCAACAGCTGCAATTTTGACAGATTGTCAGTTCAGTAGGTAGCAGACGAAACTTATGTGTTATGATGATGTTCTCAGAATTTCTTAACTCACGTTCACGTAGTACATAATTGTAAAAGCCGATAACTAACTCTATGTTTGTGGATATATTTTAATAATTATTCTTTAGAAGCAGAGTTCATCACATTACTGAATTTTAGCCAAGGTTTGGCATATCCTCTTGTTGTTTTATTAACTATGAATGCTGTGAAAAGCGAGTTAGGCTGCAAGTACAAACTCAAACAAATGTTAAACATAGCTTGCTTCGAATCTTGGTGTATAATAGTTCCGGGGTCTGACTAAAATAACTGTGTACTGTTCAAACCAAGCAATATTGATATATTCACACATTTTAAGCATTAGTTTAGTCAGTATTAAGTTTACATGGTTGACATAAAACCTAACCATTCGATTGCCAATGTCAGCTTTTGAGGTTAGAACCAATGAACCTTCTGCAAGCGGAATGTTAAATAAATCACAGCGTCTTCTCTTAGGTTTGTTTGTTTTACTGTTAGTCGATGTTATTTGGGTGTCTTCTTCTGAATTAACAAAGGTAAGTTAAGTGCTTTAGCTTAATTGGAACTTAGACAAAAAATACTAACAGCTTGGCTATAGGCTAGATAGGATGTCTGAGTGGAAACCTTTTATAATCGTTAGCCTAACTTGAATTTTCAAGTTAAACAATGTAGAGGGCCCATTTCATTGTATAAATTGAAAATAAACCTACCCTAACTGCTACAGCACACTGTAATAACTAACTTAACTTAGTTAATTGTAGGCTAGCCTAAGAATAGGCCATTAGGCCTACTTCTAAATTAATATCGAAATTCAAAACCGATACCGATTTTAAGCCAATCTTATATCGTAGGAAGCTTTGTAGAACTGCCAAATTGTCTACTGACAGCCAAAATCTTAATTTAGGCTAAGTTTAAAGTAAGTTAACTAATATTTTTGTTACCAAGTTATATAACTTAGCTCTACATGTATGAACTTACGGGGACACTTCCATATCTGTTGGCACTAATATCGAATTATGAGTACTTTTTATATCGAATGAGTACTTTTTATCGATATATCGATTAATCGATATATAACCTAACCTAACTAACCAAACATATCGAATGAGTACTTTTTATCGATATATCGATTGTTAGATATATCGATAAAAAGTAGGCCTACTCATTCGATATTAGTGCCAACAGATATGGAAGTCTGTCCGAACTTACAATCAAGTTACTTCTCACTTGGTTGACTAGGCCTAAACAATTCAGTTTTAAGGCTGGACTGCTGAATTCATTTTTGTCAACTTCCTTGGTCCTCCTAATGGATAAATTCTTACTTAAATCTAGCAAAGACTTTCTGTCCTGTTGCTCATCAAAGTTGGGGAATTTGTTAGAGCTTGATAGCCAAAGTGCTAAAACATCCAACCAGTGAGTTCTCTGGCCAAAACTAACTGTAGGAATGTCCAGATTGCCTCGCTGTCTTGTGCACGATCATGGCAAAAACTTTAATATTGTTGTGGATTATATAATTGGGAAAACAATTTTATGTGTCAGGCTAGCCTAATCATTTTTTACCTTGGACATAATTAGAATTTGAAATAGGCACAAAAATGGGTTTTCTGTTAAAACATCTGGATTTACCTACGACAAACAATTTCTTTTACAACTGTACATTGCAAGTGATTGAGTTATGCAGAACGCCTTTGTTTTTTTCAGTACATATATAAAAATGCTGAATTTGAGAAACCATTCTTCAGTACCTACGTGAAGACGTCCATGTTCACTATTTATCTGCTAGGATTATGCTTCTACCCACCATGGAGAGACCAGTGCAACAAACCAGCCAACTACATGGTGAGTAATAAGTTTCTCTTTAAAAGTTTGAACTTGTAGTGAAAGTTTGAAAGGTTGTGAATACATTTTCTGTACCAGTTACTGTTGAACACTACAGACATGTGTAGGTTGAAAAGCAATGTCTGGATAGTAGTTTGGATATTTCTCGAAATTCGGTAAAATCTGGTACTAGACATATTTTTTGTCTTTATACTGTATTAATATTTAAATTTTGATATGCCTACTGATAATGGTTACATTGAACTATTAGGTCTCCTGATAAAATTCTTAGCACTTCAACTACAAACACTTTCTTTCCCAGCACCAAGGATCAAGGAAAATAATTCTTGTGTGCAAAGGAGTTTCTTGTGTTTTATCATTTATAGATTTTATTTGTATGGATAATCTAACACTATTCCCAGTTATTGTACATGTGAGTTTTCTGTCTTGCAGTACATAGACCCAGACATGGAAGATGAAAGTTACTACACAGACGCCAACACGAGTCTGGTAAGATTTTTTTTAATTTTCTATATGTGTCCAACATTCTCTTTTAATGGATGTTAGGCTCTAGCCTAGAACCAATTGTACCACTTAAAAAACCACAAATTGTAAGCCTATTCCTATTTTTTCCAAAGAAATTGTGAACTGTCTAAACTATGATTTTTGGCTGATCTAAAATTTCTTGTAATTTCTTTTGTTGAATTCTTGTATATTTTTATGCCGATCTTGTGTGTCTTGTCGAATGGGAGGTGGTGTAGACACCAAGACTGTGTAACAATTAACATAATTGATCCTAAAAAATTAAAATTAATCCTTGAAATTATATTATAAGTTTTTTGATAGATTTAAATAAAATGACACAGGCACCTTGGCTTTAGATGATTCAGATTCCGTATACTAAATAAATAACTGTATTTGAGGAGTTGGAGAACAGCAAGTGTAATAACATTTCAATTAGGCTATATAAACATACTTGTATTATTTTTATTGCTAATGAGATTGAATCATTATTGCCACAAAGAAAGACTTTTATCATAACTTTTTTTCTTAATTATACTATCAACTCTGGCCTACTTTTCACAGCCATTCTGGGGTTCATTTGTACTGCCAAAAAAGGTGAATTACACCTTTTAACAATAATATAGAAGAAGAGGTTATATCCAGTTCTTTTTTTTTCACAGTAGAAATATGGTTACACAAATGTGTTAACTTATGTTTGTTGGTTACAAATATGAAAGCTATTCTCACAATGTAGTTAATGTCTTCTGCGGTGTTTGGTTGCAGAGTGATCCCACGTTCGTTCCCATCAAGTTCCCGGAGCGAAGTGATCGCAGCTCCGGCACCGAAAGTGACGAGTGCTCTGTAAATCGCTCCGTGCGCTTCAGCAAACTAGCCGAGGTAAATGGAACAGATTGTCGCTCTTTAACGTTTTGATTGGATTGAAAAAAGCTTGTCTATTTCTGTAAATTACATTATATCCTGCTCATGATTAATGATTAGCTAACATAGATTAGCTGGGGTTGTAAAAAGAACTGATTTGAATCTCGTTCACCTATGAGTACAAAGCTTGATTACACAGGTTAAGCCTACAAGCTACACTTCAGTTTTAAAAACAAGTGTGTCATCAAATATGATATACAATTCCTGCTGCTAATGAGTTTACTCCAACGTCAAGACAATCCTAATTGTTGCAGAAACACAAGACTGTTTATTACACTTGGATAGTTTTACGATTTGCTTAAAATCCGATGAGTGGGAAGTCGCCGACAGTGTCAACTTTATCCACGCGCCTAGGTGGTGTCCCCACCTCTATTGATAATGATAATAATGATAACTGAAGCTTTTCTATGGTTTATATTTTATATGCTGTGCCACAGAGAAGTAAGATACAGAGGATACAAGCTTATGAGACAACCATGTGCTTTTAGCTCTGGTATTCTGGGGCGGAAATGTTCTTGTACCGAGCAAGGAAGAGCCCGAATGGCGCCACATAGCATTTTTCTACAGCAGTTTGTTGTAGTGCACAGGGTCTTCCTACAGCATGAGTTCTGTAGTACCTGATGGGGAGGGGGAAAGGAGAGCGGTAAGGGATGACAAATAGAATTTGCTCTAGACACCACTAGCGACTGGTGCTAGACACCACGTAAGTGAAGAATTTTATGTATCCTAAGTACGGTATCTTACTTCTCTGTGGCTGAGTATAAAATAGCTGGGTACTAGCTTGTAATTTTGCCGTAAGTACTCTTTCCTCTTTTATTAAGCTTAGGCACTCCCAAGTTGAAGAAGAATGAGTTAAAACCAATCTTCATTTTTCCCACTGTAAACCCAATGGCCAGTGCTGCCACCCTAGCAACTGTTACGTTACAGGTGAGGCACATGTCTGAGACGGACGCGACAGAAGCGTTGTTGGCAAGACTGTCATACTCGGCCAGTCTGCGGGCGACGGAGATGTATCGTCGAGCGGCCAACAAACTCGACATTGAACAAGTCTGCAAGGTTGCTTCCATGTTTTGCATCCTGGTGAGTCAGTTCATAGGCTATTTAATTGATTGTAACCTGATTGAGGTTGGCAGAACAATCTTAATTGTATGGATTTAAAATCAACAAATATAATTTTTTGTAAATTAGTATTTTTAGCCATCTGATAACTGCCTTATGCTTACACACTCTATGAAAGGTAAAGGGGTATTGAAGTATTCCTTTTGCCTCATAAACAAGTTTTTAACCCAATTAATATGTGCCATTTTCGCACGGCTTTACTTAACTCAGTAAGGGGCAAGTTATTAGCATAAACAACAAACAACTGATTTATAGTTTTAGTAAACACTTCTAGCATGATATGTTTAAGTGACAAAGTCCTCAGCAATAAGTTCCAAATTTACTGTACAACTTCATTTTCTTGTTAACAAACCTAATATTTGATTTAAAGTTATGAAATCAATTATAAAATAAGATAGTAAGCCAGGTACAACAGTTGATACGAATGTTGAATGTTTTGCAGTGGTTCTGCGCCAGTTACACATACCAGGCAGCGTTGGCGCAGACGGAGGCAGGGATGGTGACGGTGTTGTCTTCCACCTCGGCTCTCTTCACTCTCTTTCTCTCCGCACTCTTCCCCTCTAGTCCCGGGGACAGGTTTACGTTGTCCAAGCTTGTAGCGGTCTGCATCACGGTCACTGGACTGGTAAGTCTCTGTACGCCACACTACACTGTTTTACTGTAATGAGTTTTACCAGACACTAGCTCATTATATTTAGCAATGAGTGGTTATAAACAAAAACATAACCTTATGAGTATTGATTGTTAGTCCTTTGGGAATAAATAAGGTTTTGTACAGGTTTTTTTATTGTTAGATTAGAGGAGTATAGCGTAAAATATTGTACGTCACTCGTCCAAAATGTGTTTACGAGACTTGGCACTCGCTTTCGTCTTGCACGGGAACTACCACACTTGTCCCGTGTGGTAGTTGTGTTAACAAGTGTTAACAACACAAGTGTTAACACCTATTTTCAGGATTAGTAACATAATACTATCACACATAACTTCAGGCTTGGCCTGGAGGGTTGCAGCATTAGCACATAGCTATACTGCCATAAGTGATTGGCAAGATTTGAACCCAGGATTAGTAACATAATACTATCACACATAACTTCAGGCTTGGCCTGGAGGGTTGCAGCATTAGCACATAGCTATACTGCCATAAGTGATTGGCAAGATTTGAACCCAGGATTAGTAACATAATACTATCACACATAACTTCAGGCTTGGCCTGGAGGGTTGCAGCATTAGCACATAGCTACTGCCATAAGTGATTGGCAAGATTTGAACCCAGGATTAGTAACATAATACTATCACACATAACTTCAGGCTTGGCCTGGAGGGTTGCAGCATTAGCACATAGCTACTGCCATAAGTGATTGGCAAGATTTGAACCCAGGATTAGTAACATAATACTATCACACATAACTTCAGGCTTGGCCTGGAGGGTTGCAGCATTAGCACATAGCTACTGCCATAAGTGATTGGCAAGATTTGAACCCAGGATTAGTAACATAATACTATCACACATAACTTCAGGCTTGGCCTGGAGGGTTGCAGCATTAGCACATAGCTACTGCCATAAGTGATTGGCAAGATTTGAACCCAGGATTAGTAACATAATACTATCACACATAACTTCAGGCTTGGCCTGGAGGGTTGCAGCATTAGCACATAGCTATACTGCCATAAGTGATTGGCAAGATTTGAACCCAGGATTAGTAACATAATACTATCACACATAACTTCAGGCTTGGCCTGGAGGGTTGCAGCATTAGCACATAGCTATACTGCCATAAGTGATTGGCAAGATTTGAACCCAGGATTAGTAACATAATACTATCACACATAACTTCAGGCTTGGCCTGGAGGGTTGCAGCATTAGCACATAGCTATACTGCCATAAGTGATTGGCAAGATTTGAACCCAGGATTAGTAACATAATACTATCACACATAACTTCAGGCTTGTCCTAGAGGGTTGTGGCATTATCACATAGCTACTGCCATAAGTGATTGGCAAGATTTGAACCCAGGACCTTCGGGACAAAGCCTTGTATTCTACCATTAGACTTGCTCGTTCCCATACTTTTGGATACTGTATTAGGCATCCAATCTATATGGATTAGCTATAGCTAAATCTCTTTATTCATAAATAACATATTTAATAACCCACTCAAAAGTTACAGTGCTAAAGTGCTACAGTCTTGATTTATATTTTCTTCCTTAGTTGTTGTTTGCGATAGTTGATGTAATGTAAAATATAGTGTAATTTAAAATAAGGTCTTTCAGTTTGGCTTGGTTATTAATTTAGTACTTTCACAGGAATCAACAATTTGCATTGTCCAGATTACCTACAAATAAATGTAGAGTGGGTTTTATCAAAGTATTGTTGAAGTTTAAATAGTTTTATTTAGTACTTAGTTTTATTATAATTTATGTTCCACAGACCATAGTGAGCATGTCAGACACACACATAGAACATCCAGCACAACACGTGTCCTCTGGTGTCGTGTTGTCTCTCATCAGCTCCTTCTTCTACGCATCCTACTTAGTGTTCCTACGGCGACAAGTCGATCATGAAGACAAGATGGACATTCCACTTTTCTTCGGTTAGTGTTACTTTTTGGAAATATTATAGACTGTATGATGGAACCTATCCCTGTCTACCTGGGACTGGGGGGGGGGGGGGGGTCAGGAGACATTTATCATACAGAGTTAGAGTATAGTCTATCAGGAGAAATATTTCCCTTATTCCCTTAGTGAAGTTTTAAAGTTACTGTTTTGAGTTGATGGCTCAGGACATAAGTTCTAATCCAAATTTGTCTCCTGATTTTTAATGGATTTTATTTTTAAATATCCAAAAGCATAAAAATGTGACTAATGTATATTTTACATTATAACATACATTTAATAAAAATTAATTCAAAAAGGGCGCTTGGTTATTAATTATTATGTGTTCAAATGTATATGTATATATATATATATATTTACAAAATAAATATACATACTGCATATAACTTGTAAGTGCTGTACTACTACTCCGTCTGAATATTTGGTTATTAGTGGAAAAAAGCTGTCCATTTTCAGACAAGTATCCTAAAAACCCCTTTTTAGGATACTTGTCTGAAAATGAAAATGAGACTAAGTCCCCACTTAGTCGTTGAAAAATTGTCATCCAGCTGTAGATGAAAATCACCTGACAGAATCATCATAAATAGTTTATGTTAAAGGGATTCCAGACAACACAAAAATGATTTGCAGATCACTATTACTATAGTAAGCTTTGTCGTCAGGTTTCGTGGGTCTGCTGAACATGATGCTGTTGTGGCCGATGTTCTTCATTCTCCACTACAGTCATTGGGAGAGGTTTGAGTGGCCTAACAGGAACCAGTGGCTCTTCCTCCTCGTCAACGGACTGGTGGGCACAGTGCTGTCGGAGGTCTTGTGGTTGTGGTGAGAAAACAAAACATACTTAAATCTCGTAGCGTTCAACGTCAAATGTGATATAATAATTGCTGAGTAGGTGCTCGCCTGTTTGATCCAGAGAAAAGTCTAAAAATTGTTGATGGTTCAAAACAGGACCCAGCTGTTTTTGATTATTTGACTATTAAATGAGCCTGGCCAAAGAAACTGCTGATAACAGTTAGTAACAAAGCTACACAGGCATCCACTCCATTCTACACCCATCCTTCATTCATATTTTAGTTGGTAATGTAATGTAACAGTTTTAGCAAGTTGCCAATGATCATTCAAGGTGTGAGATATCCTTCAGGAGAGTGCTCTTCCTGATACAACATTTGGAATAAAAAGTTTGAGTAGTTCGCCTTCATTACCTGATGTTTTTCATAAACGTTACTTTAATTATAAAATCACCAAGGCAGCTTGTTTAGTGTTTGAAATCCCACCAATCACCAATGGATTAATAAGTGATAATGCAACACCCTCTCGGACTATCTTGAAGTAATGTGAAAAAATCCTTCGATAGAGCCTAGCTTACGAAAGTATTGTTAGACAAATTAAAATAAAGAGATACCTCTTGATTTAAACTGTGTATAAATACTTCTCCCTGTTACAGGGGTTGTTTCCTGACCTCTTCCCTGATAGCCACTGTGGCGCTCAGCCTCACCATCCCGCTGTCTATGGTGGCGGACGTGATGTTTGAACGGGTCCATTACCCGGGCTTGTTCTACGTCGGGTCACTCCCTGTGTTCCTCTCGTTCCTTGGCGTCACGCTGCTGGCGCACTATGACAACTGTGACCCGGTGTTGGACCTGGTGCGCCGAGCGTACAACACGCTGTGTCGCCGAGGAAGATCTATCAGGTTAGTGTCTCTCGTTTGATGTGCAAAATACTTCTGCTTTGACCATTGTGATAGACGGTAGATTTCTAAGTAAGATGCCATGTTTGTGAATAGTTTCAACTGATAGGAAATAATTAACAGTTTTAAATGTTTAAAAACAGGAATACCTTTATCGCTGCCATGCATGTGTAGTTGATGAATGCCAGGGGTCTGCAGGTCCCCAACATTTTCAGGCCGGGTCAGGCTATCAGTGGTCTAAGGGATTGGTTCAGGCCAGAAATAATTTTTTTTTATCTGAGAAAGCCCATGTGAAGATACACAAAGTGAAAAATTTTACCACAATAACAGTGGAAGATGAAGATGTCGCCGTGACCGCGGCGGAAGAGTTTCCTGATTTTGCCGTGACTGCAGAAGACATTCACAACTTTACTGTGACCGTGTAACAATCACAAATCACATCGATATTGAGTAGAAAATGTACGATATTATGCAGACCAATTGTAGTATTACAATTAATATTTTTTTTATCAGTTCTTTCAAAAGCAATCCATTTATTTCCTGATCGGACCCGACATAAAGTAAGGTCTTCGGGGCGCAGATTCCTATTAATTCTAGCAATAGCACAGCTTGATGAAATTCCATAGATAAACGTTTTGATTTTCTCAAAGAACCGATCTTAACTGTCCATGTATGGTCCCTGAAAAAGAAATAGAGATGAGGAAACACCTTTTGAAGACATGGGAATAACTTTGTAAGTTTAGAACAGGAGTTAGCATTGCCTAATGGTTAGATGTTTACAATCAATCAGTGAATTCATGTAAATCCATCGTGAGAAGTGGGCTCTGTTGAACCAGGTTTTCATCATTGTGTGTTCGTGCAACTTGTCTTGATCATTTATATTTGTCAACTAAATGATATTACTTTTACTTTTCAGACTGGCAGACTGTGAAATAGAACAGACTGAGTCACTCATAGGGATCAATGACGGAGACCACGAGGCCTGAGGCTGGTGACCTTGAATGACCTTGTGTGACCTTGAGTGACCTTGTTCAACCTCACCCCAAGATCTCGATGACGTTCGGCTGCGCCGAGACGTGTGATCGTTAAGTTACCATCTCCATTTAATGTCCAACTGCGTTTTTTCCCGTTTGTCGTTTATTAGCAAAGTGTCTCCTCATAAAAACTAGCCGAATTAAATATTTTTATACGAATTAGCACAATATTATACGGTATTATGTGTTTAGGTAGGTGAACTTGCCAATTTTGTACTCTTTGATTTGTTAGCTTTCGTCTGTTTTATCTCTGAGAACAATACATTTTTTTTACCAATTTTATGTTTGTTCTTACTAGGTATTTTTTCATATATCAGAATGTAAAAAGTATTGTATAGCTTTAGGCCAAGGAATTGTATCGGATTTGGCAAAAGCTTTAGTATTGGTGATAGTAAATAGCTTCGCTGACCAAGAGTATTAAAGAGGCACACGCATTATAATGCTTCCGTCAAGCTGCCAATTCTCTAGTGGGATCACAACAATATCATCTAGTCTGTCACTTAGAGCACTGAGAGTTAAAGTTTGAACATTGCGACTGTGAATATCTACAGGTTTTAAAATGAAAAATGTACACAAATAAATCAAATCTTAAAGCATTATTGAGCATTTAAAACTATAAGTTCTTAAACATTCCATTAAATTAACTTAAGCATTTTAACATTCCATTACTTCAAAAGTTTAGTTTGATAACTATGTTACCAATCTATTAAAAAATATATATTATTATAGTAGAGATTTTTGGTTTATTCAAGCCAAGTTTATAATGAAATAAAACATGCAGTCTACATTTTTACTACATGTACAGTAGACTCCCGAATATCCACAAGTGGATTAACCACAATCGTAAAAAAATATGTCTATTAGTCTATATGTCTATATAGTCTGTTTCTCTAGGATCCAGCCCGGAATTGTTTTCCACTCTTCTGGCTAGGTCTAGATGGGGTTGCGGCATTATCACTTAGATAAAATCCATTGATGATTGGAGGGATTTGAACCCAAGACATCGGGGACCGAAGTCCTGTCCTCTAGACCACTAGAAAACCTTGCTCCCCATATTTTATGAAAGATAAATATATGTTATACAGTGGTGACCAAGGTTTTAAGCTTGAGGAGGTCCATCATCTTGCATGCAGACTATAGAGTTGCCCTTATTTACTTCACTGACCATTGATGAGTCACCAATTATATTACAACCAATGAGTTGATAAGCTACATTTCATGGGTTTAAATTTTTGTTATTACCAGGCCTATACGTACGTTAAATATTGTTTGTTTTGTAAATAGAAGTTTGTGAAACAAAGTTGAAAGGTTTTTACACCGCTACCGCATTTAAAAGGGTTTATTTATCTAAACCTGTATTAAAGCTAAATTATACTTTCAAAATAAGTGTTAGTTATTTACCAGGCATTTCAGGTTAGGTTTGCATTATCCATGATCATTATCATGGATAATCGGGAGTCTACTGTAAAAGATTCACATAAATGAATTTCTTATTGGTTATTTTCAACAATAAAAATAAGTTTTGTAAAAAATAATTCAAATAGAAAATTATCAATCATCTTGACCAAACCAAATTTAAAAATGTTGACACTCTACATATGAATTAAAAATTTCATTTGTAATAAAAACAATTTCAATATTTATATTTCAATTTGTTCAAGTTTACAGATTACATTGAATTTTCATTTGCTCTAGCTTTATTGAAGTGTCTAATTTATTCAAAACAATTGATGTTGACCAAAGAGTAGAACACTCATTACCTTAATCAGTATTATACTTCACACAATATTCTAAAATAAAAATTACACTCGTATAAGTATAAAGATTTGCATAGCCGTATAAGCTATGTCAACATTAGAGTTCCCTGTGTTCTCGTTTTCTGGGTTAATCACTGGTTTTGCTACAATTCGTCTTGCAAGCGACGAGTCCCAAAAAAGGCTCTTGATTTGGTTTGAATGTCAAATACATAGTGATGTTGACAAAACATATTTATTTACCATGTATTCACTGTGTATTTACACCCAAATGTACCCGATATGGAATATTTGGGTGTAATCCATCTAAAATAGTTAGTTTGGTATACAATACAATCTTAACAAAAAGCTCAAAACTTTTAAATTATACTGGTATTACAGCTAAGCATAGTACATCAGTGTTACTAAATCTCTTAAGATCAGTTTATTATGATTTGATTTGCGCTTGTTTAAAAAAAACATTAGTATTGTATACTGTAAGTTATTTTACGCCACACTACACTGTTTTGACGAACTTCCCACACAAGGATTTAGTCCAGAAAACAGCTGTTTGCCGCCAGCTTAATCAAATGGGGTTTCATCGCGTACTACTGTACTGTAATGAGTTTTTAGCGGACACCAACCAGCTGATTATATTTGGCAATGAGTGGTTCGGTTTAAACAAAAACATAACCTCTCTTAGAAATTATGAGTAGTGTTGTTAGTCCTTTAGTCAATGGGAATTTTCGTTCAGAGTTTTTATTGTTAAGTTAGCTTAGAGTAGTATGGCGTAAAATATCGTACGTCACTTGTCCAAAATGTGTTTACCGTACTCGTATCATAAACCCGCACTCGACTTCGTCTCGCACGGGAACGAAAACACTTGTCCGGTAAACACCTATTTTCAAGACCAGTAATGTAATATACTTTTACTTGCTCCCTTTGAAGTTTGGCTCTACTTTTTTTCTCAGAAAGGCTCCCAAATTTTACCAGACACAATTGTCCGGGTGGTTATAGTGCACGACACATGTACGATTTTAAGATCAGCTGTTTATGTATAGTAAAAAACAAAATACCAAACTATGTACCTGCATTCACTGTACAAACCATTGGTTCAACTTTCAAAGGAATGCATTTGTTTAAAATGTTCTTGTATTGTTATTTTACAGTTTTTATGATTTAGATTCAATCTTTTTGATCAGGAATAGCCATTAGCCTTCCAATCCAGCTATTTTCCCTGTTATTTCGTTGGAGTTTTAAGGCATAACTAAGGAGTTGCATCGTAGGCTTGTAGTATTGTGTTACAAAATTAATTTTAGAGATTATTATCATTGTTGATTAAATTTCTCCTGTTGCAAGAACAAATCATCAAAAGTGTTTGTGTTGTTTTATTATTCTTATTAATACTATATTTAATACTATATTTAATACTATATTTATACGTTTATAATTCCCTCACCACTTGCTTTAGGATGATTTTATTATTTATTGTATTTTTATTTTATTTACCGTTATATTATTTAAAGCTAAGAGTTTGTTTATTGTTTTTCTGTTGTGTTGCTTTTCACAAACATTAGTGGTAATGTTTTACCTTGAGTATTTTACTCTTCTTTCAGCTAGTCATGGAAATATATCGCTTCCTACAGTGTACTTAATGTGTTATTCATTTTTATAGTTTAAGACACGATTATTGTTAGTATTATTAGTTTTTATTTATGTACACTCTTATAATGTTTGTTTAGTATGCAATTTAGTATTTTGGCATTTTGTTTCTATTTTAAAAGTAAGTTTATTAAATTTACTACTGATTACCCTTTCACATTGTAATTTATTGTTAGAGAAGATGATTTAATCTTAATCCATATTAACTTTGAACAAAAATTAATTTTTCAGTAAATTTCAGTGGACGTATCATTTAATAAGCTACTTAAATTATCCGTTTTGATTAACCTTACCTTAGATCAGAATCATTTGTGAGATTGTTACAAAATGTTACGTGAGATCTGTTGTTAACGTTTTTGATTGAAAACTCTGTTTGTATGCAAGTAAACTTGTATCACAAAAATGTATTTTTTAAATTAAACCTTTTAGTTACTAAAATTGGTTTTATGCAAATTGTGTCAAATGTTTAAATAAGTAGCCCTTATAATATGTAACAATGGATGCTCCCAAATTATTTGGTGAAGGCAAACTGATAGTTTCAAAAATAGTTTGAAGAAGTGGATTTCCTAAGACCATAAGGCAATCCACAATTATTTAGAACTCGTAACAAAATTTGCCATTCTTAGAAAAAAATTTAATAATTAATCTTCTGTTACTTTTGTTGTTGTTTTCTGAGTAACTTGAGCTTGATTAGCACTCCAATAATGCAAAATTAATGTTACATTGGTTGGTAAATTGTATCATTCTTTTATCAGATTAAACCTTGCATAACCACTTCTATGCAATTGAATTTGTCTATGAATTAGTCCTTCTAACCCTAATTTTGGTTGATTGTCTATATTCTTTATCAAACCTTAATCTTTAAAATAATTTTTCTGGATGTTATAAATTTGTGTATGAACTTCAACTCCGTCCTTATTCCACTACCCAGATGTACTATAGCAGTGTAGTGGAAAAAGATTGTGTTTATGATCAAAAATTGATTACTGGTATTTTCATTTAATTTAGCACTGGGAATAGACAAACCATGGTAAAAGAGTTGAAGATTAAGTGGTAAACCAGTAACCGATTATACCTCCTGATCTTTAAATGGCACACGATTGTTTTTGTTGGTGCGTTGATGATGACTTTTCCTCCTTAGTAGAATCACAATCAAAGTTTTCATGTTTTTTATTTGTAGATGTATTGCATGGTTTGTCTAACCACAATGCAATGGACCGGTGCAGTTCAAAGCAGAAATGCTTATGGTTTTTAAAATGTATTTATTCATAAAGAATGGCAATTTCTTTCTTGTAACAATATGATTTTAATATTGTGATGAACAACAGATAAAAAGAGTATATTTAGAAAAAAGAATTTAAAGTGTGTAACAAAGATCCATTACATATAATAATTTCAAATTTGTAACTAAAACAGTTATACTTGTAAATTTCATTTATGGTTTTTTTCAGACACTATGTTAAAGTTAAAGGTCCCGTATAGTTGGACTCAATGATATTTCATAATGTCTAACTCTAGTGAACCATATTCTAACTTATTGTATACATGTAAATTATTTTAATATAAATTGCAATATTAAAAATAATCTAAAACTGTCTTGTGTGTTTCATTTAGCTAAGTGACAGTTACACAAACAAACCTCTACTTTTGTTTAAATCTGTTTTGGCCTGGATGGTTTGGACGTCACCAAATGACTTACGCATACACCTCGCCTTATTATGGCAAAAAAAAGGTTTGGACTCGTCCAGCAAAGTTTGGTGTGTATACATTTCCCTTTTTTTACCCACGCATTAGTTTTCTAATTTTGCTCATATATGTGGCTTTGAAACGTTTGTTTAATTTTGACTAACTTCTGTTGGCTCGGACTTTTTATTCAGACAATAGTCCAGTGTTTTTTCCAATAATGCTTGGCTCTAGCCTGGGGCTTTTTTACATTACTTCCGGCTAGACCTAGAGGTTGCAGCATTATCACTTAGATAAAATCCGTTGGCGATTTTGAGGTATTTGAGCTTAGGGTCCAGTGTTGAAGTGCTTGAACAAGGGGGAGACTATTGTACTGTATCAATGTGCAAACCCCCAATATTACATTTACAGTGATCTTGCCCACCTACACTACTCTAGTTGAAGTGGTTGCTTGGACAGATTTGCCTTTATGCAGTATCTGAAGTAGGATCTCTCATAGAATAGAAGTATCAGGCTTACCATCAATCCCAGCAACAGCAAGAGTAAAGCTGGAGAAATCTCGGCCATACCAACCTGAGAAAGTTATAAGGTTCATTGAAAATACATTGAAGAATTAGATTGTAGAATAATATTGTCGATAGATGTGGTTATATTGTTTGCCTTCAAATCTGAAGGTCACTAGTTTGATCCCAAGTCATTCAGTACTCAGATGCCATTGTTGGGCTGGCTAATCAAATACCTATGGCATAAAAAAAAACATGAATAAGGACAAATTTACTAAACTTTTAATTCTTCCCTTATAAAAAAGTAACTTAGGCCTATATGGAGAAAGTATTTTTTTCGTCAACATTTTTTTTGGTTGGAGTGGACATATTTGTTTTGGATCCCTTAAAGTGATGTCTGTATGTGTGTGGTACAGACTACTCTTGTGATTTTCACAAAGACGGCTCGAACCATTTTACCTATAAAATACCATATTACTCCCACCGCAAGAGTTGTTGCCAAGCTGGGAGAAAGTATGTGTCACATTGCTGATGATGTTTATTATGATTTGCTCTTGTATGTAGGATATATTCTCTTTATGAGATTTTATGGGCAAGTTTTACACCTTCCAAACAGCTTACCTGTGCTGTCTCTGGTATACTCTTGCTGTGATGATCAGTTGTGGTGCAAATCGGACGTCTACTCTGCCATCGTCTCACCTCCCTCTTGATTATTCCTGCCTCCATCATTTTACGTTGTCTAGATAGATATACAAATAATGTTTAGGTTTTAGTTAACATTAGTTATAATATTGTCTGGGTGGCCAAATGTTGTGGTTATAGCGCTTGCCTTCAAATCTGAAGGTCGCTGGTTCAATTCTGGATCCAGATGCCATTCGTCATTGGGCTACCTAACATACGGGTGACATTAGGTAGTAATAAGACCAGTATTTTTACGATTCTCCTAAAAAAGTTGCCAATGGCGTATCTTAAAGTTGAACAAACTAAATAGGAACCTATTTATACTTTAACTGAACAATAATCTGTGCCTAGTTAGATCTTGAGTTAAATAACAGAATACTGTATTGAAACCACAGAACATGGAATAAATATAGAGTCGCCACTCCTATACCTACAGCTATACCAGTTGTGAAGCCGATTTTGGCATAAGTAGTTTTTTTACTAAATTTAAATAAACGGAGCACGATAACATTAAGCAATGACAAAATCTATCCAAAATAGGAACCTACAAAACAGAACCTGCTGAATGCTTACCCATAGATAAGCAGTTTTCTGTAAGGTGATCCTTTTTGCAAGGGTAAAGCCAGAACTTCCTTAGGATTCAATGCAATTTCTACGAGATCACAAATCTCAGATTCTGATAGCATCTCCTCTATTAACCTGTTGGAAGACAGAGAAAAAACAGCTTGTAGAGAAGAGGTTTGAATATAAATAAATTGTTTTGCATATAGCAAATACTATAAGGAAGTGTGACAACTTTAATGTTCTATTTTATAATATTATTCTAAGACATAGTGGCGTCCCCATCTTAAATAATTGAATTGAATTGAATATTAGTTAACCCCTTAAAGCTGTACACAGCATATACAGAAATGCTATCAGTACTTTATACCTCTGTGAGTAAAATCATCCAATTTTGGAGAAAGCAAAATTGAAAGTTTAAAGAAGAAATCAATACATTGGTGGATGTGCATTTTTAATAAAGAATCTCAGATGGTAATCAGACAACCCAAATTTTTTGAAAGCACGCAAATTTTCACATATTTGTAAGGATAAAGTAAAATGATTACCTTGTCCAACCACAGTTGACTATTGTTCCTTTAGATCTTCATCAGATAATTTTGTATGCAACCACATCATCAATGTATTAATACATTGTGGTATCTCAATAGATTCTTTAAAAAAACTGTCACAATCACGATAATTGAAACTTGTCATGTTCATAAAATATTTGAAATGGAATAAAAATTGATAAAACTGATTAAAACTGTACACTATACAGGCTGGTCAGCACTGTCTTATCACTGCCACAGACCAAATAAAACTGACTGAATCATGATGGTTCTTCTTCTCTCCAGTGCCACCTGTATTTCAATTTGTTTTGTTCTTCTTATTTTATAATTCTTTGATTAGAAACTTGTAAATATATGTATATCAAATATAATATTTGACTGGAAAGAAGCCTGATCATTTACGAGGGTGTCGAGTTTTTTTAACTTTTTAGATGGTGGGTTCTTCTTTAACATCAAGCTTTAGACATTTTGGTAATATTTAAAACTATTTCCATGTTCTTATCAAGATGTTTAGCTGTGCAATTTTGATATTAAATGTTCAATATACCTGGATTGCTGATTTTGTGATGTAGTGAGGTATTAAATCTTTGTGTGAAAGATCTTTCAGTTTGACTGATTGGACAGTTGTCACAGTTAATTCTATAGATTAATTCTATAGACTATGGTTGTTGTGGAAAAACTTTTGAAGTGTGTTGTTTACAGATTGTGCAACCGTCGTATTGTTTCTAATAAATATTTTGGTAATGGTGGGGTTGATTTTTCCATAGTACTGTATTTTTATGTATTTATTCTCTGAATTTCCTTTGTTTATGTTCATGTTCCATTTTTTCTTTTGTATCGTGGAATCAATCATTTGAGGTTTGTACCCGCTTGATAGTGAAGTAATAGTTCATAATAAACACCACCCCACCCTCCTTACCTTACGTAGCTCAATCGTAATAGACTTTAATAACAGCTTAAGTTTTTACTAGTGGAACATGGATTTGCCCAATAAAAGGGAACAAAAATCAAAGCTGTAAAGCAAAGCAGAAATTTACATAACACGTTCCGTATTTATTTTCAGTTTTACTGTTATTAAGCCAGCATGACAGACGTGGACGTATCTTTATATAACTAACTCATTTAGATATCAATTTGATTATTTTTTTATTTTTAAAGAGGAATGTGTGCGTTACGTTACGCTGAGCCAAAACCCCACCTCCCCCATATAACGCAGCGTGCTGCTATGCCATACCCTCTCTCCACCCCTTAGTGTGTTACATAATATATATGTGTATGACCCCTTCCAACCAAGTGTCATAATCGCATCTTATCAATTTTTATCATAAATAAAATTATTATTATGCTGCGATAAAAACCAATGGAATCCAAAAGAAAAAAAATCACTCAACCAGAAACACTAAAACCAGACAGGTAATGTGCACAATTGAACTCAAAAAACAATGAATAAAAATTATGAAATCCTTAAAATAAAATAAAAATTTCCATCTAGGTAAGATTGCCACACCTGTATGCAGAGGCCGGGTCAACGTAGAAGGCGAAGTTACCTTCTTGCATACACCTGATGCCTTGGGCAGGTGTGTAGTAGGCTGCGTCGCCGCGTGGAATCACTTGCTTCTCGTAAATCTCTCTAACTACTGGCAGTATGGCACTGTAGCGCTAGAATGAGCGAAACACATAAAAGAGAAGTAATTTGTGAAATAATTTGTAGAGATTACTAACATTATTGAACTTTAAGACCAGAGTATGGCTACTCACAGTCAACGTATCTTTAGACGTAAGCACTTTCTCAAAGCCGATGATGAACGGACTGTGGGCCAGATCTTGCAGAGTGTTTATATAGCGTCTCGGTGGAGACAGCAGCGACGACACGATGCTACTGGTGTAAAACTGGTACAGGATGGTTGACCAAGCGAAGAGGAAGAAGAACAACAATCGAGAGGATACTTGGCGAGGCACTAGAGCAGAACCTGAGCAAAAATTTGAGTGATTGATATGTTAAAGGGATGCTGTACCTTTGTTTTCAGATTTGATTTGATTTAAATTATCCACATTTACACTCTCTTGCTTGCGCTGTACGTAAGTTACAGGTTATAAGGAATGTAGTCAACAATTTGTAGTCAAACAGAATGTAGTAAAGTTTATTGTTTTAGCACTAGAGGTTCTATTGAAGAAGCCAATACAATTAAATCTTGAGTTATTATAAAAATGGTATATCTTGACACAAGAGTTTCAAAAAAGTTATCATAATGATTGTTTAAGAGTTGAAAATGTTGTTAAGTAGCAATGTATACTGTTTATACAAGTTATTTTACATTGTATGTCATTGTTTTCCCATAAGGATGTCTTTTGTTTTTATTGTCCGTGAATCTGTTATTTTCTTGTTCTCCTGCCTTCCTTTGGTCGCTTTTGCTTTTGCGGAGAATGCTTTCTTTACACAGTTTATTTTGCCACATGCCTTATTATATCTGAATAAAAGTTTCAGGCCACTTAAATGTGACTTATTATTCAAGAACCTGACAGAAAATGTCCTAACATTCTGCACTTCTTAGAGTCAATGTATTCTTTCAAATAGAAAGATGGTTTTCATGGCCATTACACCTTCTAATTCTCCTTGCTATTCTTAGGAGAATTTGGATTTCACGGATTTCAAAATGTTCACACATGTTAATAGGGCGCATGTTGATATGTGACTTGGTGTTATTTAAATATCCATCTGCATCTTGTTCTTATAGGGTTTCAAGGCATAAAAATGATGAATCAGAACATCGACAGTAATGCTAGTACGCTTGGTTTACAAGGACTAGAGAATTGTATGAGTTTTCTGTTAGAAAGTTAAAATTGCACAGCTGTTTAGTAGTAAACACAGCTGATTTGTGTTGAACCATACCATTAAGACAAAGTGTAAGACAAAATAAAATAAAATTGAAATATAAACTCTTGCCTTGTTGAGAAACTGCACCAATAAGAATAATGAGACTTCCACTCCACGACAGTCTATCACCTGACGATTGATTCACACGCATCATCCAATCAATGAACCTTGTACAAATATAAACAGATAAGTTTAGTTCACAATTTTGACATTTTAAGCGTTTATAATTCACTACGGTAGAATTTTAATCATTTCTTTTGTAGGTAATTCGGTCTTTGTATTCCATTGATTAATAATGTTCAAGTTTGTTTCAAGGCCAAAAGAAATCCAAATACTATCCATAACAACTAGTTTAGTCATAATATTTCAGCTTGAAAAAGTTTAAAAATATGTTAATCGTATGGACGGACAAAAATTTACATTACTCAATTAGTAACCATAGTGAACTCTGGCATTCAATGCTGTAACAACTTTCAGCGAGTGTTTTTTTAATCATGATTGTCAAATCAAAATTTTACATAATATGTAGCAAAACTGTAAAGAAATTAAAGTGTACACAAAATTCATGTTTGAAGCTTATGTACCTCATCAAGCAGAAAATCAATAGGACAACAAGGCAAGAACACAGCCAAACACCCGGAGATAGAGGTTTGAGGAATGTGTCTCGGAGAGTGCCTTGCCTCGGGTGGCGCAAGATGAACAGTGGTCTACAAGCAGAAAATAACATTCATTCAGTTGATATAAATTAGTTGTTATGTAAATAAGTGACTAAGGATGATAATAACTCAATGCGGGTCTTCCTGACTATTCAACAGAGTGAAACTTAATTTGATTAATTTGGTTCCAAGTTTTCAATTCTCTTGAACTTGGCTGGTTAAAAAAGGCCTTAAACCCTTTGAGGTCGAATGGCGAGTATAGGTTGCCGCCTGTCATTTCCCCTGAAAAATGGAAAACTTGCTGAAAAATGGAAAATATTTTACCTCAAAGGGTTGGTTGCGGTAGGCTACCACTCTCTTCAAAAAACCCATTACTTTGTATAATGGAATAGACATTCCATCTATATGGACCAGGTTTTTATTTTTTATAAGAAAAATCACAGTTGAATGATCCAATCACGGAGTATGCTGTCTAAAATTCCATTTTCTCTCATAGTTTTTTCTCTCACACTACAGTTTACTATTGTCCTTTTAATTTGGCTTTGTTAAAAAGTTTGTATAAAAAATAAATCAGAAATTTTCATCAGAACACTCTTCTGGTGATTTATATCAACTAGGCTGATTTGTATTCTTCTGAATTGGCTAACCTTACTTAAGAGTTAAGATGGAAATATAATACTCTAGTTCGCAGTCAAAGGCATCAATTGGTAGATGTACCTCAGCATGAGATTATTAAAAGTATACATTGCTGGGTAAAATACTGACTGGTAAGGCCAGATCTGCATTGTGTAGTCTACAACGGCCAGACGCGGAGGTCGGATGGCCAGTGTGGTTGCTCCAACGTCCGCTGAGCCGTTCATCAGCAGCCTGACCATTCCGTCAAACTGGCCGTTGAAAACATAACCCCAGGATGCAGTGGGGACCAAGCGTGCGCTGAAACATGGAGACTGGTTCTGTCTACTACTAAAGTAAGTAGGTTGTGTATCAATTCCTTCATACTTAATGTATTCCTAATCAAATTGCTCTTTCCTTCAAAAATCAACTTTTTTGTAGAAACCTTGATTCTTAAAGAAGCTCTTTGTTCTCTAGTATCTGACATATTTTGCTCATGTTATATTCTCTTCACTACACAAACTGATTATGCATATTTTTTTTTATTTAACTATGCACTGTTTATATTATTACACAGATTAATTAAAAGAACGCATGACACAGTCCGTGGTGAAATATATTGATGCCAGAACAACAACATTTGAACAGCGAATTGATTAAATTGCTGCAGTAAAGTTCTGTAAGAACTTTTAACTAAGGCTTTTACCACAAAAAAGGTAACTCTAATGATTTTATGTTCTTCCCACTGGAAAAATAATTTTACAGTATCAGATCAAAATCTTGGCGAGCTTTACCTCACAGTCTTGATCAATGTGTGGCTCCCATGCACTGTAGGCTTAAACTTATTTATTAACCAAATATCTTATTAAAAAAACACTTTCTGATAACTGAACTAAACTACCTCTTGTAAACAAAATACAATTAGATAATCAGCAAATAAAGGAGTGTGTTTTGAGGTTTACAATATCTACTTTTTAAAATTGAAAATCAATAACTGAACTGGAAATTTCTTCATAGAGCCAACAAATTTTAAAAAGTTCTCAAAATTCTCCGCAATACACCGATTGTCATTCATTGTGATTCAAAAGAGATTCAATGTGAAAAAACATTGGTGGTAAGTTAACCACATACCTGAAGTTGAAAAGATTCTGCTGTATCTCGAAGACAGCCCAGCTGAACTTGGACATACTGTCAAGGTGGGGGAAGCGATCGTCCGTCAGGTAACTGAAGATGTCATCGTAGTCTTGCAACTCGGAGGCGTCTGACGCTTGAGCCGTGCCGAGACCTGCCACCGAGTTGGGCTTCACCTTCGTAACAAATTTTAGGCATTCAATCTTCCTCTTATTGTTAGGATAATAAATATGCAATTATAAACATCTGTTAGTTGAAATAAACGGTATCAGCAATCTGACTCATACTTTCTCCCATTAGCTTGTCAATAACCCTTATTATTGAGAAGCGGTGGAAGTAACTAAACTATTTTATGGGGAAAATCATAAAGTTGTGATAACTTTTGTTCTGTAATTTTTACAGCATTGGGGGTTGTGTTATTTTGTTTGAAGGACAATAACCTATTAAATTTTAATCAAAATCGTTTAAGACGTTTGTGATTCTGGATATGTCTTTAGGAACTGTCAAACTCACCACTTCAGTTACATTGAGCACAAGACCTCTTAAGTCCACTCGAGAATCCAGCTTCCATTTTCTTGAGGTCCATGTACCATTTGGCATCTGAATAAAAAATTTGATCAAAATCACCTATTCAGTTTCTAAAGCACATAACATAAAAATTGAGCTTGCTGTTATTGTATATCGTAAAAATTAACAACCAACTAAGCTCTTGCAACTTGACTAAAATTAAAATCTTATTAGCTCAATCAATGTTCGAAACTAAATACAACACCTTGGTTCTTAATCCATTCAAGTGTAACTTTGATCGTACCATAGACAAAATTAATTAAATATAGACTGTCAGCCGTGCTACGATTAGCATAGGTTCTGGCGTCCATCGCTGGGAGCGCCGTGTAGTTACATATCTTGTACGCCATTAACTACACGGCAATCCCAGTGGTGGACGCCAGAACCTATGCTAACAGCAGCACGGCTGACAGTCTATATTTAATTCTTTTAGTCTATGATTGTACTAATCAGCCTGGATAATACCTTTGCCTATCCAATAGTCAATGATAACACATTAGGAAGAGCTATGAAATGGCAATCAATGATTAAATTGCCGACATTTACTTAGCACCAGAGCAGATCACATCATGGTTGTCTGCCATTTCTCATTTAAACATTCAATAGTTACTATCTATTTTAATTAGTTTGATTTGAAAGCAACTAAGCAATGTCCACATCTAACTTGGTAGGTTCATTCTCTATCTTGACGATGGAAATACCAGGAAACTGTAGTGCATATTGTAGTGATAAATGAAATATTCACTCTCAGAACACTGTTTTGAGATTTTATTTTTTGACTTTGGGTGCTAGTTATCTCTTTGGTCATGACTAAAACGACAATCCATTCATTCCGAAGTTAAATTTGTCACCAGTTTTAAATTGAAAATAGACATAGTTTGAACCACAACAAGGTGCTAATTCCCGAATTATCACTGATTCCTGTTGCATACCTAACCAAATATTTTACTAAGCAAAACTAAAAGGACGATTTACTATAAACTAGCATCTTAATTTGTACCTAGTTTCATCATTAAATCATTGAAAAGTAAGAGAAAATGTTGACTGCAGGCACAAACTTCACCTTTCAAATACACATTCTATTATTTGAGCACTTTTGTTGTATAAATCAGATGTTTAGTCTAATATATAAAAGTACTTGTTTTTAAACATACAGCTGTTCAACATTCTGTAGCTTACCTCACTGACCACCAGCTGTCCGTGGGGCAGAGTCCCAGTTTGGTACACCTCGTAGACTCTGAGAGGCTCTGATTGGTTAATCCACATCACTTCACTCTCCAGGTTCAATTCCACACCATGATTGAGTAAAATTTCTTCTATAGTTTTGTTTGACTCATCAACAACCAGCCAGTGATAGTTGGTGGTAAACAATTTGTTTCTTGACGCCTGTAATGTACAGGGCTGTGGTAACAGTTTGACTTTCCATGGTTTTATTTATTCTGTAGAGTTTTTCCTTGTGTATTTCAGGGTTCTGTTGTATTTAAGCATAGATTGAATAATTTAAATAAGCACTGTACTGATATAAATTTTGTAGTTGTTTATTAACAGAGGAAAAGAGTTTTTTAAGTGAAAGAAGGAAGTGTTGTAAGCTTCACAATATTTAAAGATATTACAACTTAACTACGTCTACGTTGTTTCTTTTTTTACTTTCCAAGCAATGACTTCCAGTGTATTTCTTATGTAACTTGTATCTTACCAACTTTAATTAATAAAGAGAATATGTGAATTAATTATGTCAAGTGTTAGTAAAAGTTTTGTTTGGCAAATTTATGGATAATTAATATAAAAGCCCCACTTGCACACATACATAATCTTAACATGGTAACAAAACAGAAGTTGTTTAGAATTTATTTCAAAAATAAAAAAATAAATGTTTTTAAGATTGTTATTAAATATTTTTTTAACCATGTTTTATATACCCATGTAAGAAGAGTGTTAGCATTTTCACAGTTCATTTCCACAACTACCCCAAGACTTCCATAGTCCAAGCGCATGGAGTTGTTGAATTCTTCGGTTTTCTGGTCCTCAATGTTCATTACAGATACAAAATGGCCAGCATTCATCACTTCTTGAAATATGGCCACCCTTCCTAGAATAATATAACTTTGAACTAAATATATATTCTCTTATAAATTTATCATTCATTTATCATCTTATCATTTATCATTATTGTAAAACATACTATAATCTTATGTTATAATAATAGAGGATAAAGCAATAGTTAATTTAGTTAGTTTAATCTGTGTTTGTACTTTTCTGTTGGGAGGATTCTTTAAACTTTTACTACTCAAATATGAACTATTTCAACCTAGTTTACGTATTCTTACTAACTATAGCATCCAGAAGTAGCTTTGGTTATATGAATTTTGTATTGTTTTTAATTCCTCCTAGGTTCTAGTATGGGTTTTGAGATAACGGGTTTTGAGATAACTTCACAGCGTTATCACTTAGATAAAATCAAATAATTGATTTAGGTCTAGTGGTCAGAGCGCGGGACTCTGGTCTAAGAGGTCCTGGGTTCAAATCCCGCCAAATCACCAATGGATTGGATTTTATCTAAGCGATAATGCCTCAACCCCTAGGTCTAGTCTGAAGTGATGTGAAAAACAATCCCAGGCTCGTGCCTAGCGTCCTAGGGGAGAAAAAAGAAAAAAAAATTTGATTGAGGTGGTATTTGACAAAATTTTCACTCACAGGAGTTCGGCGTTCCACCACTAGACCAGCTCACTCCCTTTAGTTATAATATAAGAATGGCTAAGCAACAAGCAAGACTATAATTTTCTGTATCTAAAAAATACAGGGTACTTTTAAATCTTTGATATTCATATTAGTATTGTACGTTTTGAAAAGTAAATTTGTCGTTTTAAAGAGCTGAGTTATATGGAGTTTTTTTAAGAACAGTGATGGAATTAAAACTGATACCATACCAAGCCGTACTGTTAAAATATTTTAACTTGAAATTAAGATGGTAATTTACAAGAAACTCACTAACAGCCTCAAAGAACTTTGCAGCTGTTCTTTTTTTATTAAATCCCATTTTAAGTTATTGTAGATTAATTTTAAGGTTATTGTTTGTTTACTGATTTTGAATAATATTTTGTAATTACATAGTAAAATTTGTCTGCGGTGGTAGCTATAAAATTCACTGTAAATTAATGATCAAACTAAGAATTAAATTGAACAGTAAGAATGATCAAGACATATTATTTGTATTGTTTACCTATTTTTTAAGATAATTTTATTGGCTTACCATCAATGCTTCTTTTACAAGTGAACATTGTGCAGCTCGTAAGATTTTTAGCATTTAAAAACAAATTCACATCAACTGGTGTTATTGGTTTGAAAATAAATTCTTTGATTTCATAAATGGCAACACAATAAAAACCAAACAATATTTTCCAACTGATACAGTAAAAATTCATTGCTAACACAATTTTATGTTATCACTAAAAGAAAATAATAATAATGGGCCAAAAAGTTCCACAAGTATTTGACATGGCAGTCAAAGAGAATTGCGAAACAGTCTTTGTAAATCACTTGTCATATTAATATTTTGTTTCCCTTTGAAAACTGACAAAAGCCATGTTACTTGACAGGCTGACAGATCCTTAAAAGAAATTTGTTTTTATCAGGTATATGTATTGCATTACCTTTATACATCTAAAAATTATATTGCAAATTATATCTTGGAGATAGATTGTTTTAATGTGATATTTTTCTCAAAATGCTTGTTGTAAACAATTCTTTCGCTATGCTACTGTGAAATAACCGGTTTTCGTTACATGTTTATCACCTGCGAAAATGCACCATTACATTGTTTACTACGGCAAACGAATGTTTAATATGCGAAAGTAATGTTTACCATCTTCTTTGGATTTTTCCAAAGTAAACAAACAAAGATTTGTTATTGTTTTGTCAACGGTTTCAAATTTTCAACAACCAAAGTTAATATTAACTTTGAATTGGAGGCATAACCTACTAAAAATGCTTGAGTTTTGTCATGGTTTTGTCATGTTCCTTATTGTAATGAAGAAATATCCAATGTCTGTTTCTATTAAGAAAATAATTAGTCTTTGTAGTGTAGCGAAAAGTAACGTTCAAGACATGTGTGAAAGTGGGTCTATACATATCCTCAACCATTTAAAGTGCTCATAAATTTGCAGCACTACCATTACCACATACCTAAAACTAATTGGTGAATTGAAAGATTTGAACTAGGGACCGAAGCCCCACGCTCTATCGCTAGACCAGCTAGCTTTTCAAATTGCATTATAATTATTACCTTTATCTATACCCATTCATTCGAATACTCCTTACAGTAGGTGGTTAAGAAAGAAAAGCATTAAATATATGAAATAAATGTATTTATGTATGTTATTTACATTAACGGATAAATCATTACATCTTGGACATATAAAAAGCAAACATATTGGGCACTGCCGGGCACTACTGCGGTCGATTTGTTCTTCAACTTGAAAATAAACATTGTTCTTTCACAAAGTGAGCATGAATGAGAAAATTTATCTTTTCTCATGAAAATGGCACTTTTTACATGTGTACAGAAATTGCAATACAATGGCAAATGTTGAGCAAAGTGAACATCAAGCAATACAACCATTGACACATTTGGTAAACTTACAAAAGGTACTCAAATATTTTGGTCAATTCATTTGATTCAAATAGAAAACAATCACATATCTTATTTATTCTTAGAGATTAAAAACCAATATTAATTCTGCATGTGTTCAGTTATAATTTTTCAAATTTGCTTCCAAAATAAGTACAGGATTTATTCAAACAGAATAATTTGAATTCACAAATGAAATTTATGACTGAGAAAAACAAACTTAATAATACTTTTGTTTGTTATTTGATTGCTAGTATAGAAAGCTGGCAGGACATTTTTAAACGTAGAAAATAATGAAACCTTTGATAAATTGTAAAATGCAAATAGGTACTTTGAATACTTTAAATTTTGGTTTTTGGTTTTTATAAAATGTATTACTTGTAGTAAGGGATGTTTTTAATGTAAATTAATCTGTTTAAAAAACCAAACATTTGTTACACCTCTTTAACAATAGGTTATAGAATGTTGTGTTATCAATGAAAGTTTTATGACTCAAAACATAGACTCCTGCCAACCAAATAATGTTGAATAGAAAAACTGATCACACAGTAAAAATAAATCTTAATATAAATATTCAATACTTAAATTGAGAAAACAAAATGTTAAAATACTCATTAATTAATATACATTTTTGATTATTAACTCTAAAAAAGGTTTAAACAAGTTTAGGTAACATCGTTTAACACAAATTATAACTTACAGATATTTTTCTCAGTTGTGTTAAAAATTTCTAAAATTTGATAATTGGTTCATCAGTAAATAAGAAGAATCTTTTTTGGATATTGATATACAAATTCAGTTACGGTAGGAAAAGAAAAGCAAATTGTATAAAATAAGGCACGTTCTCTAGTTTATTCTCTCAACAAGTAAATGAAGGAATTATTTTTTTCAAAGAAGTATATTTTTCAGTATGATACCTGGCAATTCAGTAAAAATATCCAATGACTAAATATAAACTCTACTGTACATTCTCTAAGCTAAACATATCTACAAAAATATGGCAATAAGTGATAAAATGTTTTTGATTCTCATTTAATTATTTACAAGATCTTATTAACAATAAAACAATATTTTTGAGATCTCTGGCATTGTGAGTTTGATATCTTTTTGTTGAACAAAGATTAATTTAAAATTTATATAATTACACATTGTAACTTTTATAAGCAATGATTTGACTTGTATAAAAAATTGAAAAGTTTTTAAAAACTTACTTTTGCATTCAAATTATATTTTTACAGCAATATTTTAACATTATTAATAGATCCATAAGATGTAACCTACAGTCACTTTACAGTTTTAGTTGCACATAATTTGTCTTGTTGTGCAAATTTATTTATGTTGAGCAAAAAAATCAAATTCCTTCATCAAAATGCATAGTATATAATTTAAAAATAGAATCCACTTCTACTCTAATAAAGAACCACATCGATAATCCAAGTATCATTTTAGCTTTGTAGTAATTAAAAAAGATTTGATATAAAAAACTGAATGTTTTTCTTTTTGGAAAGTTACGGCCTCATGCCTAGTAATCCTGCCCAGGTGTTTGTTAGTATGCAAATTTCTTCCACATAAATACATCTACGTATGACTATTATTATTACAAGTTACAAAATCTGTAAAATTATAAACTTATAACTTAACATAAAAACATAACTTATGGCTAAAACACTCGAGGGAATATAATCTGGTTCCCGTAAACTACTAAATAAAATCTTTGTAAATAAATAGACTAACTCATACTTTACAATTGACACAAAGTAAAAATCAGCACACACTAAATACCTAGGCTCGAGTATATTTAGGCACGTTAAATTGTTTTTTTTTATCCTGTCTACAGGGCGACAGACGTAAGATGAGCCTACACGAGGCTCATCTTATGGCCGAGGCGCTGTAGAGGGATTGGACATTCAGGTACATCAAAAACTCAGCCATCGCTCAAAAATCTTAATAAAAACTACTTTTAAAATAAACAAAACATAAACATGATAAACGTAAATGTTGGACGATAAAAACAATTCTTAATATATACACTATGATACAGAATTTCGAGTATTCTTCAGCCAAAATGGTATAGAAGTTCTAATACTGGCAACCAGGCACTTAAGGCACAACTTTTACAGTAACAAAAAAATAGAGAGAAGTTAAGAGAGCAAGAAAATCATTGAGCATACATTCCTCCCTACCCTACTGGATATTTTGATCGATTCCTCGCTTTATGGCGTATTTATTTTGATTGAGATCATTTTTAACCTAAGTACAAACCTTGAAATGCCTACTCTTATCGAGCGTAATGACTAAATCATTCTATCGGATCCGTGATCCGACGGCAAGACTCGAATTAGAACTATATTTGCACTGACAACATGGCAAGAATCTTAATATCACACCGCAGAATGTGGCAACATATAACAACACAACAAATATACATAACACTATCGATAATAATATTCAATATATAACAACAGTTTGTCAACTATGTACACTGTGGTGAAACGACGAAAGACTTGATTCTGGCTGCAGCGCTGCCAACACGATGTGCGGTGGCTGCTAATGGTCCATCAGTTCAACCAACACAATGTCCAGGAGCCCTTCCTCGCCTTCGTCCGACCTAGAGTGGGCGACTTCCAACAAAAAGATGTCTTCGTTGCAGTAATACTTGAGCATCTCATCGTCAATTTTGGCCATAATCCTGAAACCAACAAAATTAATTTAGTCCAGAGTAGCAAAGCAATAAAAGAGAGTTTTGAAAAAGAGAATAAGCTATCCCTCACCCTTCTAGATAAGGTTGAAAATATTTTTTTTTTGTATAGTGTGATTAATTTACGAGAATGGTCCTTTTGGTAAAGATAACCTGGCATTATTTTCTTAATTGTTTACTTTACACTTTCAGATCTAGGAATTAACAGAAAGAATTACTTAGCGGAACAAATACCCATCACAAGTAGAACGAATGTTCTCTAAAATATAGAACAGCAAAAGTGAGTTTTAGTAGATTTGCATCAAAGGTGAATATTGATGAAAACACTAGATTACAAAACAGCTCCTCCTTACTGGGTAAACACCATTTCAGATAAATTTTTCCCAAAACTGTATCAATTGATACAATGTGATGTTAGTCTAATGATCTGCCCTTGTTATAATGATTTGACCTGAACCAGTTCTAAATGATCATGCAACCTCCTTATTCACTGGGTTTGATTAGTAAAAATGTAATTCTATGATGGATTGTTAAATATTCATTAAACCCGATTTCTCAACCTTTAAAAACCTCCATCGATTAATATGAAGCAATTTTACATACTTCCTAACCATATTTGTATTGGTTACACCAAAAGCAAAATTATATTTTTTGGCAATCCCTCACATTTAACAATCTCTCAACAGTCCGGAGTAAATTAAACTTAAAATAAACGAACAATGAAGAAAAGAAATTGCGAGATAAAAAATGAAAGAGCTAGTTAGAAAAGTTGAAAAAAGAATAGAAGAACAAGGGTGGAATATTATTGGTATAAAAAAACTGACTTACCCTTTTTTGTTTTTTCGAAACAAGTTATTTATGCTCGAAGTAGAAATTTTGTACTTATTCTCAATCTGGAAAATAAGGAAGACAAAATTAATACTTCTTTTGCCAACAGTGAAATTACGAGTACCGATAGCTTTTTAAATATTTTATTCCGGTTTTTGCAATTGTTTTTTCTTGTAACGCGAAGGTAAAGGAGTTTTCAAATTTTGAATATGATTTATTACATGCGGAATGTTAGTAGATCATGCAGGAAAGCGCAAGCTCGTGGACTTACCGGCAACCGAAGCAGCGGAAAAGCGAAACTACAACAAACACACCACGGCCAGCGCCAAAACCGGGTTAAAAAACTATCGGTATATAACATCATTGACTGTGTCAACAGCACCTTGAATGTTACTGGGCATGCAGTGCATCGGGCGAACTACGTGGAACTTTGTTAATGAGGTTTTTAACTCAAACCTCAGCGTCCAAAGTCCGCCCGATGCATAATAAGAGACCTTAAAGACCTTAGACCTTAAAGTATAAAATCTTAACCATACAAAAAGATGTGCATACAAATTATAGCAACTTTTCAACTGTTTTAATCATGAGAAGAAATATGATACAACTTAGAATTTTTCTGTAGTTACTAGAATCTTTGACTATGCTAGAATACATCATACAGCTGATGAGTGATTTAGTTTTTATATTTTAATTTTATTGAATAAAATAAAAATAGGTGAACACTTCAGGCTCAAAACTCAAACTTTGGTAAGAGAATAGTGGATAAATTAGATACTAAACATAAAGACAGTGTCAAAAAAGTACATTATTCATTTGCCATTAAAATTCGTGGGAATTTTCAATACAGTAAGTTGCAGTAGACCTTGAGAAATTAACTTGTTAAGATTTTCAATCTATGAATTTTCAATCTATGAAACTAATCATACATAATACATATTATCTGTCTAAGATGTGAAATGATTAGTTATTGTTGTCCTATTTCAGTATTTAAATATTTTCAGATGTCAATTAAGGTAGGAATCATGTAATATGGACTACTTTTGCGGATGAATTTATGCATTGATTACTAAAGACTACCGAAGTTGCTCTTTTTAGAAAGTATTGTGTTTATCGTTTATACATAGACATGACATGAGAATAACAAAACTAGAGAAGAAGTCCTAAGTATGGTCCTGTATCAAACGTTTAGTTTAGTTCCAAAATGTATTTACAAATAAATCTTAAATGTTACATGATACATGACGTTGTTTATCTGCTATGAGACTTACAGCATTGAGCAGTCCACTTGTGGTGGGGGGCGCCACATGCAGCGGCGTGTAGACGTCTTCCGAGTCTTGTCTGACGTAAAGCATCACTCTTTCATTCAGTGGCGGAATCATCTTAGGCCTCTTGAGGGGCGGGCTGCGGCAGATAATGATGTTTGTTAAAATATTATAGGTTAGGGTTAGGTTATACGATTAAGTTAGGTACAGTTAGGTTAGGTGAGGGTAGGCTAGGTTAGGTTTAGGTTGGAAATGCTTAGGTTAGGATAGGTTAGGTAAGTTTAGGATAGGTTAGGTTAGTTGAGGTTAGGGTTGGTTAGGACATGTTAGGTAAGTTAATGCATCAGTGTGATTTTTACAGAATATATTTGTTTATATCTTTTGTTTAAATATATTTTAATTTAACTACCACAGCACCTTGGCCCATGAGTGAAATAAATTCAATACATTGGTCATACTAGTAGGCCTACATAAAAACCTCAATATTTTCTTCTGTAAAGTTGGCTCACCTTAGCTCAGGGGGGAAATGGTTGTGAAACTTGAGGGTGGGGGTAGCGGGGCCTTTGCTCCCAGAGTGTAGTAAGAAGGGGCTTGTGTGCTTCAGAGATCCAGATTCCCCATTAGACAAGCTGCAACATTTGTAAAACATGCATAAATAACTGGGAAAAACATCGGACAAAGTGCCAAAGGTAGAAAATATACTGTGGCGGAATTTTCTGAACCTGAAATCAGTTTTACATTAAAATGCCACAGTTTAAAAAAATAATTTTTTCAGGATTATAGGTTTGTAAATCATTATTTTATTGTAGAGAAGCTAGAAAAAATAAGTGTGAACCTGCACCCCTTTCAGGTCTATATTTTGTTATTTTTACACATCATCTACTTGATTATAAAAATTATTGACTTTTTAAATGTAGATTAAATTTATTTGCGTTATATATTTTCAATGTGGCATGTGGTATAATTTATTTTTTATATTCCACTTTTCATGGCTATCTGACTAAACTTAGTTTTTGTGATGTTTCAAACCTGCTCAACTTATAAGATTTTAAACTGATTTCTTGGCACTGGCTTAACATATGACTGACATGTCTATTAATGTTACAGCCGTCCAATCGAGAAGTTATTACTGCATATAGATTGATGAAATACCAAATATATTTATATAATCTTACCTGGAAGTGTCTGTTTCATGTCCATAAAATCCCTGCAGCTCCATTGACGTTAACTGAAAACATGAATAAAATTAAAATACTGACAATAACTGATTTGCTGATATATTTTCATGTACACTTATTAATAATTTGAATATTAGGCAGTTGTAACGTATCATTTGTGTATTTCATTTCTAAATCAGCCTACGATGAAGATTTTAGTGTTTGAATACGAATACTCAATATAAATATCCAACAAATTAAGAGACTTTAATCCACAAGATCAAATCAAAGGTTTGTTCAAATTTAAATAATTTGCTACAAGAATGTGGGATACTTGAGAGAAAATTTGTTTAAAATTGTGTATAGAACTCTCATGTTAATATTAAAATGGAAATTATAGTCACAAAACATTAGTTTGGAATTCTAGGTTTAAAAGATATTTTCTCAACATGTTTAAAAAATATTTTGCCGCTTAGAATATCTGTAGAAAAACAATATCTGGGAGAAACAATCTGTTACTAAGGCTGTATATAAGACGCTAAATTTTCTTAATTATATACCTAAAAAAAAACCTTAAGTAATTTACCAAATAGACAAAATACAAACTGGTATGGCCAAATAATGTCATTTTAAAACTTTTTCTCAAAGGGGAAATGCAGGTAAAATTAGTACATATTAAAATAAAGAAAGGTTGGCACACCTGGTCTCCCGCCTTGTCAATGTCCTCGGCGGGTGAGAACAGCACTGGAGGCTTTACCAGATCCGCCATGTGGTAGAACTCCGAACGATCGCAGGCAGGATGGTAAAGTTCGTCCATCTTCTTGCGGCCGGTCGCCGTCATCTTGCGCTTGGCAGCTCGTCTCTCCTCGTCTCGCGTCTTTCTTTCGGCACCCTGAGACAGAAAAAGACATTAAAACACATGTGGACCGCAAGTCTCACAGCTCCGAAACTGTCTCAAAACACCGAAACTAGTCTTAAGTCGACACAAGAAAAGTCACAACATATAAAATCCCTTAAAACTTAATACAAGCAACTAAAATCTCAATTCGAGTGTAAAAGCATCGACACTAGAATTAAGTTGACTTATTAATTAATTCCAGTTCAAGTGTTTTTGTAGTGGTTTTCATGCTGCTAAAGTGTGTTGTCTAAACGTAATAGTGATTTAGGTTAATTTTGTTGTTGTTATTTGTCACTAAAAAGAGGGTCGTAAAATAACAGAGAATTCAGAATTTTATCTGACATAACGACAATTAAAATCCCAAACAATGGAATTATTATTGTATGAATGTGTGCAATAATATTTTAGTATTGTATTTGACATTTAAGTATCTACATTTGAAAAATTCAAGTACTCCCATTACACCGATTTTTTAATGTAGGCTACGTGTGTTACGAATGTACAAACTAAGGTCTACTGTCCATTTGGCATCACAATAAGCAATCACATCACATCTTGATCACCCTTTTTTCCGACAATAAACCCAAATAAAGGGCAAGCTCATAAAATTTCGCTATAAAAGTCCATAAGCAATAAAGATTAATTACTTTATGTGTTTACCACCAGTCAATTATGGCGGGCGAGAAATCGCGGCGGCGCGCCAATGAGGCGGGAAAGTGCCGTAATGGCGGGAGAAAGCCCGGACCGGAAGCCGTGATAAGCCGCGCCCTGACCCAAGGTCAGCTGTTATCAATGTTGCCACCTGTTGCAATTATTATACTCCAGACCTATTATTATCACCTGTTTTGGCAGCAGTGGTATAGTTAAGTGCACTCTCGACGGCAATTTGCTAGATTTATGTCTTTATCCTCGTTTCGAAGATTTCAAGAGGTTTTCGATTTCTAGATTGAATTATAGTCGTTATGGCGGTCGTGTTAATCACTAGGCTCCAGTCTACTGGATTACTCGCGACAATTAACTCAAACTATGTAGGTTAGTTGAGCAATAGTATATCAAAAGAGATAGTTTTAACCACCGAAATAAATCGTATCCATAATGTTTTCTGAAACTATAAATTTTTTTTACATCGCTATCAATTTAGCAATATTTATATTTGTTAAATAATCTCGCAATCCCATTCCACGGACTTAAGAATGTCGTGTTTACATTTCCCTCCGGACACAATGTTGATGAGTCACGCTGTGTAGCTCCGCCAGACAGCGTGGCGAGCGGCGGCGTGTAAACGCGCGATTTTACGGCCAATTTCCCGCCAAAACGTAAACAATCGGACCTCACGAGCGTGTAGTCTCCGCTTCAGAATAACCGTGTCGGCAAAGTTCCTGCTAGATGTCCGGGACTCCGGGGGTACATTTGCAGTTTGCTTGAATTCTATAGGAATTCGCCTTCAGTACGGAATCTGTTGGATAATAACTTTTATGAAAAGTTTTGAAACGAAGTTATCACGGAAATACGTTTAAATTTTTGGTATGGAATGTCTTTAGTCTTCTTGACATGTTGACATAAGCGGTAGAAAATTCTAAATAGTTCTCGCATATGGCCAACGAAAGAATTTAATAGGAAACGTACAATAAGGGTGTACTTACAGCAACTACCATAGAGTATTCAGTCTCCATAGAGTAACGAACGTATTCAATGCTCATTTATCGACGGTGATGACCATTGCCCCTTGCCACAGTGACGTCATCAGCACGCTGGAAAGTCTGTCGTTTGACCTTTCGGGTCATAGAGGTTAGGGATATTTTATTATTGTCTTTAGACCGCGACGCGACATGAAATCTCGTTCTTCCGGAATGATGCGATCGATTGTCAATAGCTTCTCGGTAATCGAAACATTGTATTGAATACTTAGAGTTCCGTGAGTACAAAATAAAAATGTAAACCTAATCAACATAATAAAATCATTACCGTGTTAACATTTTCGGTTATAGAATAAATAACAAAAATTGTTTCTGCCTTAAAACTTATATAACATCGTAGACGAATTCCCTAATAGTTCCCGAAATGCCATTCTCTCTACACCTACACATAGTCTACTGATGTTATTTTCATCAGCAGCTAATCCAACCCGGCTATCTGTACCCAAAGATCCAGCCAGGCCGAACGCGAGATTTCCGATTGGCAGCTATATTACGCCACGCCGATGAATTAAACATTGTAATTTAATTTTAATAACAGCACTAATGCGAGGCGGGAGTCTGGTGGGGATCGCCATATAATTGATAATAACTAGTGATACGTCCATCTCGGCGGCCATCTTGGATCTGCGTCCTCGTCGAGATTGAAAACTGAGAGCAAACACGAGAGTTTACGTTGTGAATTGAAAAAGTAGAGAAACCATCAAAAGTGTTGTTAACACATTTCAACTGTTGACAGTAATGAAAAATATATTGTTGAGCTAAAGAGAATCAAATTTTGTTGTTGTGGAAAACCGAGATATCTTTATTTGCCAGAGAAAGCAATCAACGGTAAAACACAGCTCTTCAATATGCGAACGTCGTTCACTTCGAGAACGCCCCTCCACCAACAATTATTATAACCCCGAGATTGTGAAGATTTATGAGTTTTTGTGCGCTTTGGTAGATGTGCAACGAGTAATTACTATTCTACGGCATCACTATTGTTGGATGGCAGTATTGGCAGTGTATAGAATACATGATGATAGGACTAATATAGAAATTGAAACCTAAAACGCAATTAAAAATTTTCTAATAAATAATCACCAAATGTGTTTTCGAGTCCCACTCAAACATCCCGAGTTTTCCAATCGGTTGCAAATTAAGACACAGCCGAATTTAAGTCCCGATATTTTATTAATTTATTTAAATTCGCCGGCGAATATACGGGCAGTAATAACAAGGGAAAGCAAAAAGCGAATAACTCAAGTCGGGGACACTGCTTGTATAATTGTAGGATAGTTAAATGGACCAATAGCGAGGCTGGAATGAGACCCCGCCCAGCGCTGTTTCGGCGGCACATGCATAAAACATGTGACAGACCGACAGACCACCTGCATCTCCATAGAGTATAGTCGCCCGGTCGAGCGTTGGTCACGCATATATATTCATACGCGATATTTTGCTGACTTTGTTGCCGTGGGTGTTCCGCAATAATTGAGGACTGGGGTAGTTTAACTTTGTAAACTTATGGTTGACACGTAATCTAAGGGACGTCGGGACGAATTGTGTGCGTTTGAATTTCCATGTCTCTTCTGCGATGTAAATCAACATTCAATTCGGTATGGAATAATTTCTTTTTGAATTTGACGTAGAGGTATGGGAAAATACCACGGATTTTTCGTAAATTAGACGAGTGGTGTCTGTGAAATAACACGAAGTAACCATTTAATTGTAAATAGTCGGAATAGTCCATTGAAAAATCCAAATAACGTTCGTTTACAACGTTATGCGTGTCGTGTCAGAATGTATACGAACTTAGGCTCTTATTTCATCTCATCTTACTGGTTTTTAACCAAACTACCATGGCTTAAAATAAAATAAGATTCTCTCCTTACGATTAGAAAGAGAAATACATTATTGTGAGAAACAACACTGTCTTAAGTAGAAAACAAAACAAAGTTGAAATGAAGGGTTGTTATAGTATAAGAAATATCTGAAGAACTCTAAACCATTGAATATCGCAGATTCAATGAGAAATCACAAAAGAAAATTCTAAATTCCATAAGCAACGCACGGTGTACCAACTCAACCGCAGCCTATTAGCTGAATAAAACATAACCTCAAACAATCCACGGCATCTCGCAACAATCAATGTATCTGGCAAGATGGCGGCCAACTATGACGACGACATGGTTCGCGAAGCTGTTTATTGCGTACGCAGCGCAACATGTAGAGATAGGGAACGGCTTGCGTATAAAACTAAACGTCCGCAATAAAATAACCCGCTGGAATACGGATGGCTTATTACCAGCCGTGGTAAAAATGGCGGTTAAATACCGCCGTAAATAAAGAGTTTGTACGGCGTAGCAATAAAACAATAACGGTAATTGGCCGGTGCTGTTTTATTGCCTTGTATTCTAATAAATAGTCGCTATCGTAGGTAATATTTAGATTAATCTGAATCCGAGATCGTATCTGGGATACGTGGTTGCATCTTGGCCATGCAACGCTGTGATTGATATTGGGATTGATGAAACATTGGAGACAAGGATTCGCGAGTGTGTACGATTGTCTGTATGGGAACTTAATCAAACCTTAACAACGAGAGTTGACTACATTCTTGGCTTCAAACTCTGTATTATGTCAGGAGACCGTGGGTTTTGATACTGTGGGGCTATTACTGAAGAAAATACACATATCAAAGTGAAGAAGATAAAGTGTGCGAAGTTCAAAACACAGAATGTAATTTTAAGGGAGGTAGCAGTAGCGATAGGGTAGATTGAGAAAGAATTTAATTGAAGGTTTTAAGTGATTGGGTTGATCAAACTAATCGGTTAGATTCCAGTAGTGATCCGACCAAATCTAATAAAATTTGATAAACCTAAAACACACTGCTTATAACACTTGTTATATTGAATTCCATGAGGAACGAACCTTGACAAATTTATCAGGGAGTATAACATATTTAACAGTCTGGGGCCAAAATAATACCGTGCCTTCTAGTCACGCCAAATTCACAAATAATGGATGTTGGTTGACTTCATAAAGGAATTTTGAAAACGTCAACATCAAAACAGACATAAATGGTATATTTGGGATTAACACAATATTATTGGTATATGAAAATTGCCAAAATCCAATTATTAGACTGCAACCTCTTCTTTGGAGGGGTAGAGTAAAAGTTGCACACTGCAGACTTGACTGTCTCACTTTTAGATAATCAATCGCAGCTGTAGATTTGGCGCGTAATTACGGTTAATGGCGGGTCTTCGTTAGTTATGCAAATGTCGGTAGGAATAATGGCCTGGGATCGAACTTGGGCTGTGATACTCAAACAAACGAGGGCGATACATCTCTGTCACTCAAGTTTACAAAATACGCGGCTGGAACATCCAAATCTGCCTCAGCTGCTATAAACTAGAATTTTGTGCAGGATGGTTTGCGTCATCTTAATAAAGTCTAAATGTTTCTATGTTCCTTTTAAAAGTGTTCAATGATTTTGAAAAAGGAAATTGTTGTTTTTCTAATTCTAAAGTAAAAAATCTCATCGTAGATTTGACAATTGGCATTACTAGAAATTACATTCCAATGTCGTTAAACTTATGTATTTTTAGAATACATTAATCCCTATTGGGGGAATTCACTAAAATTAGCCAACAACAGTAAGTCTGATGTAAACTACACATTTCTTCCAAATACGCCAACCAAGCAAAACTGATTTTGTAAACCGTAGCTTCTTCTACATACACCACATTGACATAAATAGTTACAAACTTCTTTATACAAAAACTAAGTGAAAAACTAGAATCTTGAATTGAAGCAGAATCTGTGACTGAGTATATCAGTCGGGTTTTTATTTAAAAAAATGTCTAACCACTACGGATGAGATGTCTACTCAGTACCCGAAAGCCAACGGTTATAACCAACTGTAAGAAAACTGTAAGATTTCATTAAAAGTTATAGTTCACTAAAACGCTTTATTAACCACTTCACAATGCTTTCCAACAAACAAAACCCAATTACAGCATCACATTATGCTACTCGCACCCATTGAGATTAGGAATCACTGAGATTACAAGTTTTCCCACAGCATCGACAGGTGCGTCTCAATACCCATAAACTTTAATACATCCTGCAGACGAGTTATTTGGTTTGATTCAGAACATCGCGAGCTGTAATTAAAATGGAAACTGTAGTCAGGCCAAGTGTTTCCTGCCATATCTGAGGAGGCCTTTGTGCTGCAAGAGGGTAATTTCTGATTCGCCTGTGCCTAATGCCTCTCCGCGGCTCCGAGCCCACAATTTGGGCCCCGGGGCGCCCGTTAGATGCCCCCGGTATAGGCGAGAATGTTCGATTTAAATTGCTGCATCACATTAGCTTCGGGGCTCAGATCTGTTAGCATGCAAAGTGTCGATGTTTTAGCAGTTTGAGAGGTTTTCGTTTGGAAATGAATGGGTTTGTTGTATAGGTGGTTTTTGAACCCCTTTTTTAGTAGTAAGTTGTCTTAAGATAGCTTCAGGACAATGGTAGACATATTTAAGTCATAATACTGTATGTACATGTAGGTTGTGTTTTACTTCAGTTTCAGCAAATGTGTTTTTTAATTATTCTAGAACTGAAAATCAAGGAAGAACAATAGTTAATGTTATATAATTCCCCCGTTGAATCAATTTTCTAATAAAATTCTTGCAACACTGATAAACCCTATATCGTGCAAAAAATGTCAGAAATGAAAAAAAATATAGTTCACTTAATTTGAATAGTTATACATACTTTGCAATCCCACTTTTTTAGATTTCCTGGAAATTCAAATCCACTCTTAAACCTCGTCTAAGAAACCCTAGTTTTTCTCTTCACGAAGTCTAGTTGTTCATACTGAAGAGACTTGGGAGAAACAACCGAGTTCAACTCTTAAAACTAAGTTTATTTGAGTTATGAGTTAGGGCGTGTTTAAGTCAGTTACCTTATCACAGAAGACTTTGATCTGACAGTAGCCACGATGGAAGATTGGACCTTCTCTGGGATCTTCGTACGTGTCGATCTGTAGGTGTAAAGGCAGACCCTGGGGACAAACAGAAAAGTTGAAAAAAATCTCCATATTACACTTAATATCCTACGATTATTTCACCAGTGGGCAACACTCCGTTAACCCCTCATTTATTGAAATTGGCCCCACTAATGGGCAAAATACCACCAGGAGATATACTCAAAATTGAATGGTATGAACAAATAAAGTAAACGTTAGATCGTTTTACAAAAATTATGTTTTTGATATTACTTTTTACGTGGATTAATTATGTTTGATTAGTTTTCTCGCAATTTAGTAACAAATGTGAATAGATGTGACATGGTCAACTGTTCTTGCAAGTTAATTCAATGATCTGAAAAATAACTGAAATTTGGCGAAAGTAAACAATGTGCAAAGAACATTTGCTAGATACAATTTGATTTAGCGTATAACAGTAACGAAATAAAAGTTTGAAAAAACTTAGAAGTAAAATGCGTAATCAGCAAAAACTAAATTGAATAGTCTGCAAAATATATAGATGTGGCGGAGCCAGGAGTCGAAAGTTTTCAGGGACTCGTATTACCATAACTATTCAATTTCCATATACATTTTATGGACTACGGTTAGTTCCACCATATTTTCACACTTTAGATAAATGGGTCCGAAACAATCTTCCCCCGCAAAGAATAACTCACGAGAGAAGAGAAGGTGATGTAAAATATTGCTGTGACCGGCCCCGATTTTGCTGAACTCCGTGGAAAGAATTCATATGATGAACACACTAGACTATTGAGAAAAAATGAGAAATACGCCAGTTAAAGGAAAGAATACAAGGTGGTCGAACATGTAATATTTATATTAGTTTCATAAAAAATAAAATGAACTTGAAACTTCGAATCGATACGTTCATTGAGTTTCTTTAGATTTAATTTTGTTTTCAAACCCACCAGAAAAGTTCATGCTATCGTTTAAGGATTTAAAATATGAAATCTTTGCTAAGTTGGTCTACAATGCCTTAGCTCAGTAAATCGTTGCACTTAAATTTGTATTATTTTATACTTTATGAAGACTAAACATTGTCATACTACGATGCATTACAGTGCATTACAATGCATGCACATTACACTACACATGCATTTAACAGCTGTGTAAACACGTGAGTTCTCGAAAAATAAAACCTCTCGCCCCAACAAAATCTGTAAATGCCCTAAGCTTTCACCCGCTTAAATTCCTCCGCAAACACAACTTTACATAGTGTATCGAAACGCATGCATATTTCATTCCCAACAGTTGGCAACACAAACAACAGCTGGCGGGAAGGATCAGGTGATTTTCAGCTGATCAACACCGCGGTAATAACAGACAGCTGCTGAATGGAATCACGACCGATGCGATATGTACAGACGATCATTACCAAGATACGATCCACCCGTGATGCGGTTTCCTGCTTGGATTGAAACATTGTTAGTTCCACTTTGGAATTTTCATGATGGAAATCTCTCTCGGGTTCTGGCACAGCGCTCGGGGCTTCGAAAAGTTGGGTTTGTAAGTTTCCATTTGGTAAGTAAGGTTATACAAGGCAAAAGAGAATGTTATGTAAACCACATTAATGTGAAGCTGTTGGGATTAAAATAAAGTGCAGTACCCCCCAAAATTTAATCAAACACAATTAATTATTGCCGAACTAAAATTATAGTGCGTCACCTAGGCTGAGTGTGAATTTACATGTGTATTTAACAGGAAACACCATGGCAATAACTTTTCAATTGTGTTCAATGTCAAAAAATGTTAGTATATTCACAAAACCAACAGCAAAACCAAAATACATTAGGAAATTTAAAGACAAATACCCACATGTAAACCGAGTAGGATAATTTATTTATTCAGTACAACTGGAGCTGACGGGAACGCGACTGTTCCATTAGCTGTGGGACGACCGCGGACAGAGAAAGCTAGGAACCCACAAAAACCTTCGATGTTATCTATCGAGCCTTAGCCTTTCACCGGTAATATTTGTGTAAGAAATCGGTCCGAGAGATTAATTAACATGGAAGAGCCGAGAGAGAGAGAGACAGACCTTGGATTAAGAGAAGAGATGCCGAGGCAGACGTATACGATTCCGTTTTTTCGGAAGACACGGAGGAAACGCCCAGAAGGCGACGGCTAACCCACCTGCGGGATTATAATTTCGTAAAAAACCGCACCGTGTTACTGTCAGGCAATTTTTAAACGCCTTATCCCGTCACAGCCATTTGCTAATTAATGCAATTAATCGAACGCGTTTTTACCTTATCTCACTTTTTATGCGTCTTATCTTGGCGTGAAAGTTGATCGCTTTCAAAGCTAATGGCGACGATGTAGAGGTGAAAATGTTCAATTTACTAAATGAGTTGCAAATTCAATTAGTTATTAGCGCAGATGGCGATCGAACTGTTTATGGGTTGGTTGACAAAGGTGTAATGATGTGGAAACTAAAGAGGTCTTGATCGATGTATTTTCAGAATAAGCTACTTTTTTCAGATAAGAAACTTACCCTTTGGTGGTACAATTAAAGATTTTGATGCATTGACCAGCATGAATACTGTGGCATTCAGCTCAGAATATTCTTCAGTCATAACTTCTGCAGCTCTAAAGAAATTGCTTTACAAAATTAAACATTACGTGATCAAAATATTTGGCTTCTCCAACATTAATACCGGAAAAAATCCCTCCAAAATGACCCCTCTCAGCTGAGTTATCTCTGATCAGCTGTCAACAGCAATCGCGCGCCACGCCACCAATTACACTGTAAGTACCGCACACAGCATTCTCACGTAGCCCAAGAGATTACTAGAGAGTCGGTGTCCGTGTACGCGGCGCAACGGACGTTCTCTCCGATACATATTTATCGCAGTGTGAGCTACATGATCGCATCATACATGTTCATGGATGGAGATCGTGTGGAGAATGCCGCTGTGCGCCGGACTGTTTGCAATTGAAACGGATCTAGGGGTAGAGAAGAATACCTACCTTGACTCCCTTTTGGCTGCTGAAGTCCGTGCTGAGGCATTGGACGGCGATGTTGATCTGGAAAGAAAAAGACGCATTACTTATCAAGATTTAGAGTAAGCTGAATCGAGAAGATTCTTTATGGGGGGTAAAGTCATTAGGATTTTTAAATTTGTATTCACTGATCACAGTTTCAAAGCTTGCAGGAGTGTTTCGGTCTAGAAAGGTCAAACTTGAACTCATTGGCTCTTGGAGTCTTTCCAGAACCCAAAACCATAAGTTACACACTGCATGACTACTTTTTCAGTGTATTACCATAGATGGTATTACTTAACCGAATTTTCCTTTGCCGAATATCGTCGGTATTTCTCAATTCTTCCACCACAACAAACACACCACACCTCTGTCTCAAAGTCTACTCTTTGCACTACTTTCCCAGTCCAAACAGATGAAGCCAATTTCCTGTTTCCGTCAAGACTTCATCCAGTGACAGCCACAATCAGTCAGACGAATGACTGACCAGGTGGTTCACATCTAGAGTAGCGTTAGCGGGTTCTAATCTCCCTGGTACTAATTAATATAACGAACAATGATAGCCACTAATGTTGCAGTCCTCGTTAGCAGATCGCCGCCATGAGCGAGTATTTGTCAATGCAGACAACCACAAGAGTCCACCCTCCATTAATAACGGCTAGTTTGCGGCTGAGAAATTGAATCTGTTGGCAAATCGAGCGGTACTTGTGAGAACGAGGTCTCGCCAGTGACAAATTGTCCGACATTAGTTACCACTGTGGGGGATTATCTGTAACCTGCGGAGAAAGTTTTCGTCTTCGGCGGGCGTGTTTAGTGGCTAACGATTGTTAATTGTTGAGGTTTATTAATCGCGAGGGGTTGTTGAACATTTTGAAGTATTCAAAAACAGTTTTTACAGTATATCCATATGCATCAAAGATAAGCGAATGTTTTGAAATTGGAACAAGTAAAAACCAAATGCAAGTGTTCACAACTAAAAAAGCAAAATTCATAAAACTTTATGATGTATCTCGAAAACGGAGACTGAATGTCCAGCCAAAACGTATCACAACGGTACTCTACCCCAAGTCATCCATCAAGAGTAATATTTTTTGTAAACAATAAAACAGTAAATTACCCAGTTTCCCGGCGAGCGACTTTTGGATCCCGGCCAAACAGAAATTCCCTCTTTACAACCAATTAGCCCCGTATACCGGCCCGCATGTTCGGTGAGTTATATACCAATACGGACGTTTGATTGAAGCGGGAATAAATTATTTCTGAGAGCCGCGTCCATGTCTTAACGAGGCTGAGATGGTTGATAAAAACCGACGCCGAGACGTCAAAGTGGCGCGTAAAATGTCATGTTTGGATTCCAGCAGCTGCGTAAAAAGCGGGAATCAGACGATGCGGCCAAGGATAATGCTGAAAGCTTTGGTGAATAACGTCCAAGCTTTGTAGACTGACAAGGCCGTTGTGCAAGGTGTAGATCTTGCTAGGGACTTGAGTGATTGGCCCAAAATTTGATCGGGACAAGAATAATAGCAAACATGTAGTGTACAGGGGAAAATCCAAGTGGTTGAAAATCTATGTTGAAGTGTGTTGTACTAGAACACAAGTTGCAACCAGGAGGATTGCTAAATCCACAAGTAAGGGGGTTTCAAGTATCTTCCAAAATATGGTGAAACAAATTCAAAATAATTATCAGCCAGTTCGAATCCTAATAAACGTAAAAGTATTGGGATTTCTCTAAGAACCACTTAATATTGCCCTATTCTAGAAAATTTTACAAACCCGTCTAATCAACAGTGATTTTAAATTCACGAACCAAAAAGGCACTTAATGGAAAATCTCATCTCTACATACTGAAAAACCAACCACCTTATTACAGTTGATTAATGCGCTAACTAGACATAGTCTAATCGACAGTACTAAAACCCGTCCGCGAACCAGGCATGACTCATTTGCGCAGATTGCAGTCCATATTAGCGAATCTGGAGCAGGCGGACCACACCTCGAGCGATGTAAACGCCAAAAAGAACAATTTGAATCTCTAAATCTCCTTAATAACCGCCATAAATCGTCAGTAGACGTTCGCGATTGAGATTTACAGTTTTTTGTTCCATGCGAGCGCCATAAACAGTAATTAGCCGCCATTAATAACAGCGATGCATTACGATTTTAGAATTTCGGCCGCGGAAAAACGTCGCTGCACCGAACTGGATTATTGATGATCCGATATTACGATCTGAACAGATCGTGGTTGATAAGATGCTGGCCGATTAGGCTAATAAGAGCTCTCCTAATGTTTTCTATTAAAAAGCGATAAATCTGGCCGGACTAAGCGCGTCTCTCGTCTCTGACTGGGTAATCAGAGGCGCTTTTACCTTTGGAAAGTGCTTGACTCGCCTTGGGAAGTCCATTTGTGTGGTCGGTGAAATTTCTGTGTTTTCGTTGGTAATTAAGTACCGTGTTTCCTTCAAAAGTTCTGGCTTATGTTATTTTACAATTTTATTTTTATTGTACAGTTTTACGTCAAATCAATTATTTATAATCAAAATAATCCTAATTTTTGAGTACATACATTTTGTTCACAATTGATATCCCTTTTAGACAAATTCTTACCTAAAAGTCTCAAGGCTTGAAGGTCAACAGCTATTGCGCAATTTCTACTCGTACCAATCACCCTTATAATACTTCAACAACTCCTAGTGTCTGCAACTAAATTATTGTTCCTCAAAAAATCGTCTTACAAGAGTATTTGCTAAACCAGATAGAAAATTCTTTTTCATTCACTACCCAAACGATTGAATCAATTTGTCTGTTACTAACTGAAGATTTGTGTTATGTCACTTCGGACGTATAGTTTGAAATTATTGTTTACATCTAGATAGGGAAATATTTACCTTGGCAGAACTCTCAAGAGGGTTCCAGTAGACGGCGATGGCGTTATGGGAGATCTCCTCTATACAGCCTATCAGACCAACGCTGTTCTTGGTGTCTGTAACAGAATGTACATAGCTTTTTAGATTAAGGAATGGACTTCAAAAGATATATATTCCATAAAAAGTCGAACACTGAAATATTACAAGTCTGCGTAGATCTTAGTTGTGTAGTGTTAATGATTCGAGTTCTTTTTCGTGGGTACTGAAAAGTGCTTTAGGATCATGGGCATGAAAGGAACTTCCACCTCAGAGTAATATGAAGTGCAGTATAATATTTCCCATCATTGTTTTTGCATATTATTTAAGTTATACTAAAACATACAGGATACAGGATTGGGCAACAAAAAGTACTAATAGTTGGTTATTTAATTAGTCTTTACATGATGAAGAAATATTTGAAAATAATCCTGCATGCCGAAAAGTTTAAATCATGACAAACTTAAAAATGGCGGCAAAACAAAAAAAACTTAGATAAAATGACTACTTCATTCACAAAAGTAATATTCGACGCGCATTCATAAAACTCATTAGCCATGTTCATATTTTAAAATAGAATTTGAGTAAAAAAAATCACGCCATCAATGTACAGTATTTGCCATAAATAGTGGTAAAATAAAGCCAAGGTTTACTCGCACCGTTACAACTCAACCAAATATATAATTTTCACAATCTAAACATCCGTTAAAAGCTTCACCAAGCCCAAAACAAATCAGAAGACCAACAACCTTTCCAAATCCTTCGAAAATGGCAGCCCGAGGAGCCGGGCTGATGACGTAATTGGTAGTGTAATGCGGAGTCGAATTGGGTTCGGGGAACCCGGCCCGGGGGGATGGGTATTGGGGGAATTGGAAAATAATTGAAACGAAAGTGGTCGGACGAAGAACAGCAGAACGGGTCCCGCCCCCGCGGCAGACTTGAATGGACGCAGTGCACTACAGGAACTGGATTCTAACAACGGCTGAAAACCAGAATATCGTGTTTGAATTATCATTATTTCAGTCGGTTTGGGCCGTTAGCCACAAATGGGTCAACGGCATCCCTAGCGGAATCCCACTCTCGGTTTCTGCCCATCCCAGTCCCGGGTGGCCGGTTCTGGTCGGGGTGGTTGGGGCAGTCCTGGTGACGTCACTTCGCTTTCTTCGGTGTGCTGTGGTCAATGAAGATGGGTTGTCTTAGACATGTGAGAACGATTATTGGATCATCTTTGATTGAAGTGTGATTTTATGGGATTTGCTAATAGCTTATTTTATGATCTCAGGTCTAACAGGTCTCAGGTTTGGTTGACATATGAGTCAAAAGTTCCTCTTGAGACATCTTATGAGGCTACCCCTCCCTCAAGTTTACTTGGCCACTGATTATTATAGGCTGCCATTTCATACGTCATAGCTCAAAATGACAAATTAGGCTACAAGGTTAGGACATTTTTCAGCTGAGATAAATCCATCTTTTGGGGAAAAATCCATCTTCATCCATCTAAATGCCATCATCCATCCATCTAAATCCATCTTCATGTGGAATTCATACTTATTCATAATTTAAAGTTTTAGGAACGAAAATTGCAGCGTTTAAGATGGTTCTTGGAGATTAAAACTTAAGTATTCATGTCTTGATTCTCCACATCATTCAACAATTTTCAGTCACGAGTTTTAAAATAGACTACTTCACAACGCAAGTGGTGAGATGGCTACGAGAACTGCCAGCTTCCTTCATAAATATTTCACCATAAACTATAAATATCCGTCAGTGAGTTTTCCAGTCTCAGCTCATCAATTTCTCAGCTTCCGCTCGCCGCTACAATTATCCAGTACGCAGCATCAGACGCATATTTCACAGTAAGTGGTGCAGGTTCCCAGGCTGGGTATCTAGACGTAATTGCTACTTCCCATCCACTACACCACGCCAGATTAAGACCGGCAATGGGCCAATAAATAAAGTTTTCATGTGATTGTGCGGCGCACCCTATAAATCGGCCTCCAACTTCTGTCAATTAGATTGTATAATGTATTCGGGCCAGGCTTTGTTCCTGTATCTGGACCATCTGAATGTTAATGCGGTTTGGGAGTTACTGGCTTCCTCTAATGGACCTCCTGTGGTCGCAGAAGCTTTTGTAATTTTCGTCTCTTCACTTTGGAACTTATCGTTATTGGTTGCCACTGCTACTTTGCCTCCAAAGACAGACTTTATGCTTGCGATTCTATAAATACTGGATGCATTAAGTGTTTCTTTTTAGTGGCACATTTAAATGATTGATCTTAAATGTTCTGTTTATCAAAAGGTTTAAGTTACTATTATTCACTTCCATAAACATATTAAAACTACTATGACGTTTTCATAAAAAGAACTCGCTGTTATTTAACAGTAGTAACAGCGAGTTCTTTTTATGAAAACGTCATAGTAGTTTTAATATGTTAGACACATTATTAAACTACTATGGAAAGTTTCTCATATTCTTTTATTGGGATGTTAAATTTCATCAACATTCTAAATCACTTGAATACCTCGAATTAATTAAACAAACTTTCCAACATTCTTCAGTTTCTCCCAATCCGACGTGAAGCTATTTCTAACATCTGTCTAAAGAAACTAGTGATGTGAACCAAAAGTGAATCCCAGCCATCCGAAAACTTTCAAATCTTGTAACTATTTCATCAGCCTCGTTCCAAACTCGAATGGAATCCAGTGTTTCGTCGTACATGATTTACAGTCGAGCTACCAACCCAAAATATTTCAAGAAAACGCCGTGCAAAACTACTTGATAATGATTCTTCATTGACCCCACCTGGGAGGCATTTCTCAATGCCCACGGCGGATATTTCCTAATAAACCCGACACACACGCAGACGCCGTCACATCAAAAGGTCAGACGTGGATAGAATCTCCCATGTTACCGCCCCGGTAGTAAAATGGTTCCAAAACCCATACCATTATTACCCATAATACCGTTGAAATTATACATAACCGTTCGCACTACATAGTCGCGCGTCTTTTAATTTGTGTGATTATTTTAATAAGCGATGCTGAGCCGGTGGCTACGCCAGATCGGCCAAATTGATTTCATCCGCCACATAATGACGAGGCTACACACTGAGCGTGTATCATTATACAAACATCCACTAGATTTGCACTCCGCGACCCGCGGTCCATTTGGAAATAGTTTCCCCAGCTGTTGATGCTGTGACTTGACTGAAATCAAGAAAAATGGATGGCGGAGTTAAAATATGATTGTATAGTAGGTGATGCAAGTGAAGAAAAGAAGTGTCGATAGTGAAAAGTAAGAAAGGTTGACGGATCACCTTTGAGATCAAGCTACAAGAAAGTGCTATAAATCAAAATGTCCCAGAATCCTGAAGAATCTAATCTCTCTAATTGGGTCAAAATCAAACTTGATGAAGCACCGGGGCCAATTTATCAGAGACGCCGCGGCTTCTGAAGAAATTGAGCCATAACTCAGCCCCAGTAGCGGCTCAGCGGCCGAGGCTGTACATTATATCAACGCGACCATCAGTTATGATTGCGTCACGAATAAATTAAATTGCTTTACAACTTTAATTATTGACAAATCATCGAACGCCGAGAGATTCCATTTTGTTATAGATTATCAGACATGAGCTGGTACACTTAAGGACTGTTAGATTACGGATAAAGAGATGATACATAGTGATGACATTTGATAGTACAGATTCTACTCTAAGTGGATACAGCCTAGTATTGCATTTGCATTTAGTACATAAACAACTGTACTGTTATTAATACTTCAGTGGTTTCTGGCTGAACCCTTATGAATGATTACTATGTTAATCAACGAATCAGAATTAACGAACATGAGTTGTTGACAAACTGTCCGTCCTCATTCTACACTATCTCACGATTTTGTCACATTTTCCACCAGCAAAGTACATTTACTTTTATAACTCAAACGGGATTCAACCAACAAACCAACAATACAACAAATGAGTTTTCATAGCAAGAGAAAATTCACGTAAAAGGCCCTTTAATCTATTATGGTCATCTAAAGGGAAATGATTTCGTCACATCTTCAACCCTGAACACATGGCCTTTTCTTTGCTCAAGAGATGCTGCCGGATGCCAAAACGGCCGAGACTATAATCGTTATCCCCTTTATAATACACGGACTTCATCTTTCTGTGGAGATAATTTATCGACGGATTTACATGATTATGCCGTATTTTACGTGGAGTTTTATGCGCGATGTCATGCATTTTCCATGTCTCCACAGCTCTCTGATTGAGCAGATGTCGCCGTGATGATTTAGAATCGACCCAGCGGCCCTTGGAAACTGTTTTGCATTCCATTGTGTGGCGTTCCAATTTTGTGGAAATGAAAAGAACTGAGTGGATGTTTTATGCATTCTAGTTGATTTGATGGCAAACCCTCATACGGTGTTTTTGATTGTATGTAGACCTGACTTTGTGTATAGCCATCTAAATGTCTAGTGATAGCGCAATTGAAAACTCAAATAGAGCTATGTCCAAGCCAATTTAAATAATTGGCGTGTTCTAAATCTTTCTACAACTGTAACATGGAAATTATATCACAACTTCGATCAATAATCAAATGATAATTCTCAACCAGGTGGGGAAACAAACGTGGAAAACAAGTTTTAACTGTTTGTAATACCCATCCGAGTTTTGAAGTCTCAAATTGAATGTAGCAAGACGCTTGACAAGTGGGAGGAACAGGTGTTTGATAATTGACAAGATAATCTCAGGAGAAATCCGTTAGTCTATCGTCCCGTCATCCGAAACTAAATCCGCCGCCATCTTGGAGTAAAAAACATCGGAGTCAGGTGTCGTCAGCCGCTCCCACAGCCGTGCGGAAGTCGCGGGACAAAACTTTGAGTGGTGTAGCTTAAAGTGATAGCTACTCAGTTTAAAAGTCTACCAAAATGAAACTTATAAGTGGATTTTTTAACTTTCCAACACTATCATCTTCTACGTTTGGTTTGTATTAAATGTTTGGTGTTTTCCCACGTTTTACATTTGCCTGATCCAAACTCTAAGATCTGGATTTTCTCAGCACAGAAAAACAGCCAACATACTTAAAATTCACCGTTCCCACTTGATGCCAAACCATTTGAAAAAATGCCAAAAACCGAATTTGAATATATCGGTCGGTGTTCATATTGAAGTTCGAATATCACCCTATTTCAAAAGTTTAAATTAATGTCTAATCTTGGCCCCGGGAAGATGACAGCGTCATTCAGTTGGCGAAGATTGTGTATAGTCTGTATGATGGAACCTTTCTCCTGACCCTTCGTCTTCCTGGGACAAGCCAATGGTTAAGGGCCTGGGCCAGCCCAAGGTAGACGAAGGAAGAGCCAGGAGACAGGTCCCACAATACAGACCTGGGTTTGAAATGTGTTGCAGCAATCCATCTTAAGGGTAAATTTAAATTCAACTGAAGAAAAGATTCGACAATCTACTTTGAACGTTGATGTTGAAGTTTGCCTAACCTTACATACGTCCACGTGGATTTTTCTGGAATTTAACTCTGCATACTGAACACATTCAGCCTTTTAACTTTTAATGTCTACTTATGTTTGATTACCATTGCATCAGTGAGAGGATGCGATATTTCTAAACAGTTTTATTGCTAGATATTGCGAAGAAAATGCCATTACGAGCGTCGTAAAACACCCTTTCAGAAGTTTCGCATTAATTTAAATAGTTGTATAACAACTTTTTACCAATCACTGCGGGTACTCATGAAGCATAACTCCATAGGGACTATAGGGCCATCTCGTACTTCTCACACCACAGACAATCACGTAGGCAACTTCTCGTGGATGGCGAGATTAAATAACAATGTTTGAAAACAAGAGACACGGCCGGAGTTACGTGCCACTCCCGCACTCGCACCACACACGCACACGCGCGTGTTGGTTATATCACGCGAGGATACCATCTAAATTATAGCGTCACGTTTTTTAATAGACCGCTGCGGAGATGATCTATCTGCTATCTCCAATTGAGAACAAAGAGGCAAAGATTTGGTGGCCATTGTTCGATAACTGACCGTTCGATTGTTCTCCAACGCGATGCGATGGTTTATAAGTTTCTACGCTTCGAGCTCTCGGCTTTTTCGCAAGGCAGGTGGGTCGCGGAATTTTGTGGAGGGGCAAAAGGTTAAGATGGATTCTTTTAAACCCTGCTCTTGACCAATCTGTTCCTTCTAATGTTGAGTGTCCAAATTCATCCATAATCATTCTGGTTTGGGATAGAGCAATAAATCATTATGCACGATGCTGACGAACCTCGACGATGTGTTTATTTATTCAAAGTGCCTTGTTATCAGTACTGTATATGCTGTGTAGCTTTGTACATGATTTTACAGCCAGGTGAACCAGGCGAACGCCCTTTCTTTAAATGCGCATTTCTTATATTTAGCAGAAGGATTTTCGGTCAAAGCACCAAAACCACACGTCAGTAAAGGAACACAACAGTTGTTGTTCTTAAAAAACATTGGACACGTGTGCGACGATAAATTCTTTGTACGTGAATCAATTAAACTATTGCACACTGAATCTGTGGCAGGTATTGACTTATAGACGTTTGATTGCGCAACCCAAGAAGTAACTTTAACAAGTTATTGCTTAAAATCGTATCCAGTCGTCTTATAAATAAACATTTTACGACCGCACGAACAAACAAATGAGTCAGAAACGGCGGCAGAGCTTCCAGAACTTGAATAGCCAATGAGACGCCGATGACTAATAAATCTGCTGTTTTTGTACGCTGAATCAGTATTAAATTTCTTGCCATGAAATATTAATGAGGCGAGATTAGACACGCTATTCTGGCGAAGGTTCCAAACACGAGAGGACAAAACGTGAAAAGTCGATTCGAGCCAAAACATGTGATAAAGTATGTAGAAACAGTGGGAAAAAGATTTTAATGGAATTAAGAAGAAAAACTGGCATTAACATTTCTTGAAAAAAAAATGCAAATGACATATTCTGGAATTAGGATGATTAACAAATGAAAAATAAAAATGAACAGGAGTAATTTAGCGATAAACAATAACATCACAATCTCAGTGGTTTTCTCCAGCACTTCGGATGTAGTTTAACTCATGCTGGTTTTATTTCACGTATGAAGTTTTAAGTTTAACTGAAGCCTCTGTTGATTCAAGATATTCTGAAAGATAATTGTGTAACTCAACTTCACCAAACTCTCTATTCTCCAACAATTCATCAATAGGATATTTGAACTCAAAGAGATGTAAAACCGCACAATTCTAGTTGTCCTGAAAGTAGAAAACGAGTGCCAAAAACTGAGAAATAAAGTATTGCAGCCCAGCCTGTGACAATATGAGCTTGAAGTTCCTCCTCGAGAGAGTTATAGTATCTGGAAGATACTCACCAGCATCTAATATCCTCTGTTTCACACTGTGTTGCCTTCCGTGCCAGAACTGCCACGCCTTGATCTCATCTTCTGGTGACTTCTCCTCTCTGAACATCAGCATCACCACGCTCTGCAACAAACAGGGAATCATAAGTAAACATTCTGGGAATGTTACACAAGGGCAAACAGTAACAAACTCTTTCTTCAAAACAATCTACATTCATCGCGTCTAACTACGTCTAATGGGGCGCATCGCAGTGGAAAAACACAAATAACTAATAACCGAGAGAAAAAGCTGGAAGCTGGAAACCACAAACTTGGTTTCGCCTTAAACGTCCAAGACTAATGAAACCGAACGGAAAACATTCAATTAAAGAAAAGTTGTAAAAAGCAAACGAGGAGCTATCAATTAAAATGATTGCCGTACAGCGGCGGAGCTCGGTCAATTAGAGCTCAGTGTAGCCCGTGTACTGCTAATTGTTATCAAGGTCAATGTTGTGTGGCGAGGTTGGTAACGCTTGGTCATTGTTTAGTTTGGCACGCGTGGGAAATTAGAATCAAGCTTGCATCACGTACCGTTGCCGACGATGAAGACGTGTTCCGGAGAACGCACCGCGGGAATATTAAGTCCGTAATTAACTGCGGATTTGTTTGGACGAGAATATTGGGTATTGTGAGCTACGAGCTGAGTTATGCTCTGGCAATTTACAAATGAATGGTGGCCAGGTGGAATTGGGCCCATAATTGGATCTCACAACGATATGAATGGGGGTTTTCTTGATGAATGGAGGAGCGATTTTGTATCTACAGTGTGCTTTCTGGCTTCTAACTTCTAAAATTAACAACTTTTAGGGTTTTGCTGAGGTGATCAACTTCAACTTAAAGGCAAGAAAATTTGTACTCTTACTTCTTTGACGTTGGGCATGGAATGGGAATCTAACATTGTAATGTATATCCAGTAGGCTAGTCTAAAATTCATAAATTAGCACTTTCCTCAATTATAGGTTAATTTATTATTCATCCTACAGTTTACATTCATAGGTCCTTCATATACTTTTTGAAGTGAAATCTAAAAACCAATTGATGGCCCAACAGATACTCTAAACTAAAACAAGGTAGACCCTATCGACCAGATTAGATCAACTTGAGCCAAAGAAAAAGAAGTCACTCGCTGGAAGTAACAGTTCTTCCTCGGTCACTGGTCTCTCATCAGATGGTTATCTGTGACAACCGCGACGCAAGACTGAGAGAATGGTATCACCAAGATAGGAACATCCGAGGATCATTGGACCTTTCACTAGTTACTGGAACACTGAATACTGATTTGAATCTGGCTTGATCAATGGGTCTGGAAACTGAAGGGAATGAATCATATTCTGGAGATATGGAGGTAATATCCAAGGGGTCATCATGTGGAGAAATCTGTTTATGATGGATTGTATAGTAATTGGACTTTTTTAAGCTAATTATTCATGATTAGGTTGGTAAAAAGATGCTGGATGTGTCACAAGGAATAAGTAGTTATCTTTTATTTCCATTCACAGACAATTATCTTATGATTTCTCTTGGTGAATCGTGATTGAAGAATGTATACTTCAACCTTCAACGAAAATCCCACTGGTACGATTGACATCATACCATAACTGATGTTAAAACACTTGTGTACTTAATATTCAGTAAAACCCCTGTTGATCACTTAATCAGTGATTCATGGAATCGTTAATTATGGGATTTCCACATACTGCGGGAAACCCATTGATCTAGTAGTACACATCAAATCAAACGGTCATTGGGTGAATCATATACTCCTTTCTAAGAATCTTCATTGCACAACATTTTAAATGGCTTCACGAAGCAAACACAGTTTAACATGTCGTGAGTAGACAAACACTACTGACTTCCTTTTCCATAATTAAATAATATAACTCACGCCCGTTATCACGATGATGGTGTACAATTTCAAAGATCCCATAGTATGCGCGCTCTACTCAAGGTTGATGATAATCTGTGATGGGCAGCTCTGCAATTACTGTTGAATATTATTACTTAATATGAAAAAATTGACCTTGAGGCTAATGTGTGTTAGTTTGTTTCTTTTTACGCCATCGTGTCTCGTTTGTTTTCTGTACGTGGAAGAATTATAATAGACTGTAAACTGTGTGCCTTATCAAGACGTAAACAACGTATTGTCAGCGTGTCTTGATTACTGTGTTCAATTTTTCATTCTATATATTAATAAAATAATTGTATATAAACATAACTAGCTGAATTCGAGTCCAAAATTGTTAAAGTTCAGAACACTTCAGTTCATTTTCTCTTCGTTTTCAACGTAGTCTACTAAAGTGCACTTTCAGCCACCCAGTATTCACTGAGACGTCCGGCTACCTCGAGCATCAGAAGATCAGATCCTGCGATGGAAGATTTACACCACAATCGCCCATCAAGTCGTAACCGCACTCCTAAATCACCTCTCGCACCACCCACTGTAGGGATTCTGATAAAACCGCACTAATGGAAACTGACAGATTACTGCTACGTGTTCATACGGTGCAGTCAATTCTCCAATGGGTTACATGGAAGATTTCTACAATCTAGAACAGAGTAGAGAGTTGTCTTCCAGTTTTGTATGATCAAGATGGAAATGTAGTCTTGAAGAAATATTTGCACTTTTGACATCGTCAATCTTGGGTATAGTTAGAAACTATTAGATGCGCTGTATATGGCTGGATTTGTTGACAAAATAGATATTTAAATTGGCGTTGGACGATTGTTAGATGTGAGGATAAGTCATCATTGAAGAGTAAGAGCTTTAGAAGTACTCTCTTCTTGTTCCGATACAAAAGAACATTTGTCACGGATCAAAACTGAAGTATCAAAGGAGCCCGGTATGTAATATCCCAGTCACTGAATCGCACATATTGTGCACAAACCCATTAGTCAAACAGCACTGTGGTTATCCAATATAAATGGATTGTAGTCTTATCTAGATTCTTCTGGATTATACAAGAAGTCTACGGAATGTAATCCATATCTCAAAGTTCTTCTGGAATCCAACTCATATATCATTACACGGTCATAAGTCCGTACCGTCTAAGGCCGTACATTGCTACCAACATTCCCAGCAATAAACGGTTTTGATTGGGTCTCCCTGGATGCTTCTCGTGTCGCCATGTAGCTGTTCCGCGAACGCTAGATGTTCTGCGGATGTATGACGATTGTAATTGCGATACGCCGTACGTGTGTTGAATCCGTGACTTTCGTGCGTAAAAACGCGAGAGCTCTGGACGATTATAGGAACTCAAAAATAATTGACAGCGGATCTGGTGTGTTCAGGAGTTTAAAATTGTCCTTGAATTCTAAAGTAATATTAGTGATCAAACATTTAAAGCAGTTGTGAAGAAATCAACAGAGGCAGTTTAGATAATCTCCAAACGTCACTTTGATGTTGAAACTAGATCATGGTTACCCTGACTTCATGTTGTGTTTAGGTATTTTTCCTATCCCTAAATGAAGGTGTTGCCCAAACACGTGGAATTCCATAGGTAAACTATCCTACAACTTTTGTTTCATCCCCCGTCACTATAGATGTACTGGTCTTTGCCTATAACAATTCAAATATAGAATAGTGAAATTTCAGGGGGTGATAAACCCACTAGGAATGTTCTCGGGGTCGAGACCTCTTTAGCCTAAAACGAGAGGTTCCGTAATAAAGAATTGAGGTAAGATAGTGGTGCCTAAAGTAAAAATATAGTGCATGCTAACTAAGAGGCTACCACTGGCTCCCATGATTGATACAATATTGGACTCTGATTACACTTGTCAAATAATGTTCGGATTTTTACAAAGATAAAATATTTCTACCACCTCCTTCGAATCACTCAAGACTTTCTCAAATACGAGTAACATTTCAAACGTTTCCTCAACAAAAATTACAATCCGTCGGATCGGCTGGCGTGTACGATGCCACCGAGGACATGTTATTACCCGTCCACCGTCCAACGTCCACCGTGTTATTACATATGATGGCACGTTTGATTGTTGTTATATACGACGTTTCCACCGTGCCAATTTGCATAAAGAGAGAAAGTGGCGGACAGCGAGTCAAGTATTTAGAGGCGCTCGCAATTACATACGTGAAAGTTCCGGCTACTACAAGCAGCAAGTCGCTTTGGTTATTTACAAGTGGCCTGTGGCTGCTACAAGACACAACTACAAGATAAGGCTGTCGGACAACACGCGACCAGTCATGTCTTGGGAATCTGCTGATTAGGCTTCGATGTGAGAGGTTATGTGGGAAGAGTGTGACTTTGTAGTGTGATGGGTGTGAATCATGTATAGTTGAGGCGGAATGGTCAAAAGTTTATTGATGAGACAATGTAACAACAAATCTACTAAATAGTTGGTGTTTAAAGAGAAACAGATCACTTTTCGACGTTTCTTCGACGTTTCAAGTAGTTCTCCTTCCACAGGTCTCCAGAAGGTGTTTGGAAGTAGATTTACGACTTATTGTTGCTGGACCGTGAGAGCGTTTAACTTAAGCGAGGAAGTACGCTTAACATACTACGCTTAGACAAAAAGTGGTTAGAGCGAGAGTATGGAGTAGGCTATGTCATGTAAAGGTAAAGACTCCGAGTGCCAATATCGTTCAGTGATTGCTCAACGATTCTATGGAACTTCCTATTCTAGTTCTGGCTATCTTTCGGTGATTCAATTGAACAATGGGCTATAAGCATTGGCGACCAACAAAGCACCTCATCAAATTGTTTCCTGAAGGGTTTCTTGAGTACTGAATCTTCCTCAATCAATTTGGTAAACTATCTCCCAACATTGCTGCAGTCTCAGAACACCAATTGCCCAAAACCAGCAACTACCGCGTAAAAACCCGTTAATTCACCGAGACAAAAGGCGCCATCACAATAGGAATAAAAACGGTAATTGTTCAGTTTGGCAAAATGAATTCCGCAACTCAAAGAGGGTCCATTAGGCCAAATAATAACAGAGCTGGCCAGTAAGAGCTGTAATGGCACTTTTTATGTTAACCCGTAGGCCGATGAACCCAAGCCCGGGTTGGCGTCGGACCAAAACTGAAGCAACAATTTATACAGCTGCATTACGATCAGAGACAAGTGG